GCTCGTCAAGAAATTTACTCTGCACATCTCATGTGTTCGGCCGCTGCAGTGTGACATAGATAGGTGGTGTCTTTTTCTATCAACAAATGGTGTCGGGGAACTTAACATATGTTCTTTGTGTTTTCCACACCTGGAATATAAACTGCCATTTTGTATAGTCTCGTGCCACACAATTAAGCACCTCAAACTTGAAGGTTTCGTTATTGATTTGCCAGTAAATGGTGGTTGTATATTTTCTGGTGTCACTTCATTAGCTTTGAAGTATGTTTCCTTTAACCATAATAGTGTTAAAGGAAATGTCCTCTATAGTATTCCTAAACTAGAGAAGCTGGCTATTCGAGGTTGTGATGGGATTGAGAATGTTGATATAAGTGCTCCAAAACTTAGAAGCTTCTCTCAGTTCTGTTCGTATGTTTCTATACCCAGATGGTTTACTGCTCATTTGGAGGCAATTAAGTATCTTTGCTTGTCAGCTGGTTTGTCAAAGGTGAAAATCTCTCAATCTCAATTTTTTTTTTTTTTTTTTTTTTTGAATACTACTGACTCTATTATAATGCAATATCTGTTCATAACTACTTTTTCAACCAAATGAAGCATAAAGAGTCAATATCATTTCCACTAAACTCAAACTCACAACCTCCCCTATATATAAGAGAGCAACGGTACCATTGGACCACAAGGTCCTTGGTTTGAATCTCTACTTTATAATCGTAATTTATTCCATAATATATCTTTTGTTTTTTTTTTCTTTGCGGACAACAACATTATTATTATTATTATTATTATTATTATTATTATTATTATTACTATATTTGTTTTAAAGATTGTAATTTTAGTAGGGCCTCATTTATTTATCAGAATGGGCTTAGTAACTACTCTTAACTAGAATATATATATATATATATATATATATATATATATATATATATATATATATTGAACTTGTTGTCTATTTGGCCTTTCAGTTGGTCTTAGGCTGGTGACCTAAGTTGGTAGGATAGGTAAACTATAGGTCTTCTTGGTTTGGATCGGTGAACAACCTAGGCCAATTTATTTTTTGTGGTCTTTTATCATAAATTCACAATCTAGGCCTTCCAACGATATGATAGACAATTTAGGTTGATTTACCCTAACAACCTAGGTTTTTCAGGGATGGATAACCTAGATCGGTTTACGTACCCTCCTTTGTGGACAACTTAGGCTAGCCCGTGATGAACAACGTAACCTAGGAGGGTTTACCCTTCTTGTGGTCCTTTATCACAACCTAGGCCTTTCCGGTTTACCCTCCTTGTAGTCCTTTGTCACTAGGGTCAAATGGAATACACTAAGTTGGTCAGACAATTAGTTTGGTAGCTACAAGCTTCCAAGTTTGACTCTCCATAGAGAATTTTATATTGACTTTATTGGTTTGAATCGGTTGTCTATTTCGACTTCCTGGTACCATTGACAACCTAGGCTGGGAATACACACATGATAGAGCTAGGCAACATAGCCCCAACTAAGTTGGACAGTTAGCTTGGTAGCTCCAAGGTTCTAAGTTTGAATCTTTAGAGTTGTTTATTGACTTTTCTAGGTTTGAGCTGATTGTCCATTTCACTTATTTCTTGGTTTAAGCCGATCAGCTCCCATCTAAGGTCAAATGAAATACACATATTAGGATAATATTATCTAATTTATGAGACAATTAATTAGTTGGGTAGCCGCCCACAAGATTCCTTTGAATTAGATTACTTAGCTTCATGCAAATGGAATACATATATACACGCAATTAATTGCTATTGATTTAATATATATAATGTTTTTCAATTCATTCTGACTTGTTAGTGTTCTTTCAAGTTTAAATTTGCTTTTTATTATTATATTGTTTCTCTTTCAAGACTGCAAAACTTGGAGAAGCCCCAACGGCAATAAATCTGCAAGTAATCAAGCTATATCGTTTCAAATTTAGTTGTGAGAGGCACTTAAAACTTGTTATACAATTGCTTGAAAAATCCCCCAATCTAAGCACACTGGAGATTGCTGCAGAGAAACAGGTGAGACATATATGATCCTATATATATATATATATATATATATATAGGCTTCGAATCCGGTGCACCCCCTCTAATAGATGAGACCATGAGGCCTCCTAATATCCATTGATTCAATTTTCATCAATGGTTGAGATTATAAGAGATTAGGATAGTAATTAATGACATTTTTCAATGTAAAGGATATATTAGTAATTGTAATTCTAATTTATTTATGGACATAATTTTATTGGAATCTGTAGCATTAAATTAGGGAGTTTGTGGATGGAAATTAATACTTTGAATTACTACAAAGGCTGATGAGGTGAACTTGGCGTGAACAAGGCTTGAGGAGAAAACGAACGGGTAAGTGCATTTACGTGCCATCGTCTGTGCATACACTGAATAATTGGGTTTTCCGCTGGGATGGTGGGAGGGGGGTGGGGGTTGGTGGACAACCTAGAATATCTATTATGTGCGTAGCGCGTGCGTGTTCAGTTGGTGAACAAACTATTTTTTTTCTTCTTTTTTTAGGCCGGTGCACCACTGTTTTCGTGTTGATGTGTTTTTTGGGGGTTGCCTTGTTTGGTGTGGTTGTTTGTGCGTAGCAGTGTCTTACCGTGTGCAAGATAAGGTGTGGTTTAGTTGCTAATTGGCAATATTATTTATATTTTCCTGTCTTTCTCATTTAGTTTATTTGCGTTTCTTTTGTTAGGTTGATGCGTGTGTGTTGTTTGGTTGGTGCGTGAACCAAGCGATTTTGAGCAAGAAGGTTTAATTAAAATTAGATGCATGACCTAAAAATTGATTGAGAACTGGATCCGTGTGTAAATTAATTTAGTTCTAGATATAGACATTTGCTTTGGAACTTTGTGCATTTTTGGCAATGGAACTTTGCATCATGTGGTCCGTGTCTTTTTTTTTTTTTTTTTAGTTTTGTTATTTACACTGGTGTGTGCATTTTTATGGTATGGCGTGTGCAAATTTTTGGCAATGGAACTTTGCATCATGTGGTCTATTGTACACGTCATAACACTCCAATGCACACACCAAATACAAAAAACAAAAGCATATGAAGAAATAGGCCTGTGCATATCGCCTGTACAAAAAACAAAAGCATATGAAGAAATTGGCATGTGCATATGAAGAAATTGGCCTGTGCAAAAAAAAAAAAAAAAGGCGTGTGCATGATAGTAGCGTAGGCATGTGCGTAGGTGCTGGGATTTCAAACACATGATAATATTAAGTGGAACTGGAGGACACATCTTTATTACGAAAATGTTAAGGTCGAAATTCAAAAACTAACACCAACTACTTGGAAAGGGGAACCAAAGTCAGAACCCCCAGCTAACGCATCGGACTCGAAAGTCAGGCCCAGGAGGTCATCATGGAGCTCCATAAAGTGGGCCATGTCCTCCAAAGCTCCAACTAACACATCGGACTTCTCAGCATATATCGCAGCCACAGTCTGCAACATTAAAAAATTGTGTTCATATTACAATGCATCCACCCCTTTACATCCCCTGTTTATACTATAATACATTAACCTCCTACCACATACGCACATAGCATACTTGTAAAAAAAAAATTAAAAAAAAAAAAACAGCAAGCTACATTACCAGCAAGAAACCAACCTCATTGCAAAAAAAAACCCCATTACGAAACAAACACAAACTTAACCCCATTACGCACAAACCCATACTAATTAAAGCTACACCATGTTTACACTGCACTGCATTCATCGCCTAACCCCTACGCACATAGCATACTTGAAAAAACAACTTAAACTATTTTACCGGCAAAAATCTAACCTCAGCATAATAAAAAAAAAATCCCAATACGAAACAAAACACACACAGACTAGTTACAACACATTAGCATGACCACCAACCCCCTACCCCCCACAAAAAAATACACTAATCACAGACTATGTACGCACAAACCCATAGTAAATAAAGCTACAACAAGGGTATACTATATTGCATTCACCTCTAACCCCCTACGCACATAGCGAAATTGGAAAAAAAAAAAGATATACACAGTAATACCAACAAATACCCAAACAATATTTCCAGTACATTACAAATACTATAATGCATTAACCTCCTACCCCATACGCACCTAGCATACTTGTAAAAAAATTAAAAAAAAAAAAACAGCAAGCTACGTTACCATGGTGGTTGTATTTTGCTTTCTGTATATCACTTTAAGCACATGATTATGAATGAAGAATTCAAAGCCATCCAGCCACTACATTATGGACACTACAACACATCTTTACATCAATGCCTCCATACACACACAGACTCCAAACCTCAAACGCACACACTAAAGCAGAAGACACACAGGTGATCATCACTACAAATCTCACACCACACACAGTAAACAACACAAACCTAAATTCCCACCCCCACCTAACATCAGTACACATACCAGACAAACCCAGACAACCCCACACCCATAACCCAAAAAATAAATAAGTAAATCATAACCCCTAACAAAACAAAATTGAAAAATCACCCCCTCCCCTCCCCCCCCCCCCCCCGCCCAGAAAAGCAGCTAACCCCCGTGCCAAAACCAAACAACACCCTCGCCGGAAAACCCTGCCACACCAAAAAGAATTTGATAAAAAAAAAATTACCTTGCACCCCATCAGAGGACGAAGGCTCTCATCGGAGGAGTGAGAGACATAGACGCGATCGGAGAACAGGGATTCGAGAATAAAAAATCAGAGGACAAAGGCTCTCATCGGAGGAGTGAGAGATGTGGACGCAACCAAGAATAAGGATTTGAGAATCAAAAAAACTTTGCACCTTCCAATAAAAAGTAGGAAATAAATAAGGTAACATAATAAATATAATGTCAAAAGACTAGAACACCCTTGTCTATTTACAAACTCAGCTCACACGCATTAAAAATGCAAAGCAATCTGAAGCGTTAAAATTTAAAAATAAACGAACCAGATCTGATCTCACGAGCTCATCTGCCAAGGGGGTGTGCACTGGATCCAATATATATATATATATATATATATATATATATATATATATTTCTTTTTTCTTTTCAGATTTAATTTCCTCGATCTCGATCAATTGTATTAGGATATGATTCATTTCTTTATGAGTTGCAGGAGGAATGGATCGATGACAAAGAAGATCCATCAAGAATTTTTGAGGGCCCGGACATTATAAATAAGAATTTGGATATGCTTAACACGGTAAAGATCGAATGGTTTAAAGGATCCAGACATGAAATACTTTTCTTGAAAGCACTGCTCTCAAAATCCGTTGCACTAGACACAGTTATTGTTCAAGAATTACGTAATAGGCACAATGCATTGGCTCTTATCAACTCAAGGAAGTTGTTGGATTTTCCTCGTGCATCTCAAAAAGCACAAATTGTCTTCATGAAGTACAACTTTAACTATAGACTAATTGATCCCCCAGAATTGTAAGAATGAATTTAGTATGCTTTAGTTTGGAATTTGTATGCAACATAAAAATGTTTTGTTTTTCTTCTAATGGAGTACAATGCAACTTATGACTTTGTGTGATGCTCTATAGTTTTGATATGTGTAAATAGTAAAGTCAAATGTTGAAACGGGCAGAGGTTTAAAACCTTGGGCTAAAGTTTTGTTTGGGATGAGGTTTGGAGGAATAAATGCTGAGGGGAGGTTTTGCTTGGGAAAAAGCTTGCGCATAGGTTTGAATAAGACAAATGCTTGGGCATAGGTTTCTCCTAAAGGGAAAAGCTTGGGCCCTTGGGCTAATGTTTGTGTAAGGAAAAAAACCTAGGCTAAGTTTTTCGGAAAATTATGCTGTGTATCCGTATGCACCATGCATGGTGCATACGGATGCAAAAACGACGTTGTTTTATTAAAAACGCGCGTCTCACTTAAAAAAAAAATCAATTTCGATTCCAAGCAACAACATTATATTGTGCATAATTTGAACTATATATCTAGTATCAATGAACTAAAATTCTAGAATCGATGAACTAAAATTTCAGAATCTATAAACTAAAATTCCAGAATGAATGAACTAAAATTCCAGAAACTATGAACTAAAATTCCAGAATCAATGAACTAAAAATCCAGAATCAATGAACTAAAAATTCAGAATCTATGAACTAAAATTCCAGAATTTATAGACTAAAATTCCAGAATGAATGAACAACATAATGCTGTTGAGAGGAATCGAAACTGATTTTTTTTTTTTTTAAGTGGGATGCGTGTTTTTAATAAAACGATGTTGTTTTTGCATCCGTATGCACCCTGGGTGCATACGGATGCACAGCATAACTATTCAAGTTTTCTTGCTTGCAGGAGAAGAATAGCATTAAATGCTTGAAAATTCAAGTTTTTCTTGCTTGCAGGAGAAGAATAGCATTAAATGCTTGAAAATTTCTAGGCAGACGGTTTGCTATAAATAGGCAATTCCTTTGATAATAAATTATCTCATCAGATTCATTCATCCCATTCGAAATACAGAGAGTTGTATAGCGAAATACAGAGAGTAAAAAATAGAGAGTTGTATTTGTAATTCCTATTATAATATCATTTTGCCAATACAGAAAATTCTTATTTATGATTTATTTTAAATCTTACACTAGAAATATTCTCATTATTTCAAGTCCAAGTTGCTATTGTATTTTGGTGTTGTGAACCGTATCGATCCTAACAATATGTGGCTCAGTCTTTAAAATAAATTTGTTTGCTCAATAGATTTTGTAGTACTACATACGGGGTATCATTTAAATTATAGACTAATTATGAATGGTAACAATTTTTATATATGTTATTGAAGAACAAAACTGAAAAAGAACAATGATTCTATCAAAACGACGGCTCTGTTTGGCAAACCTAGCTGAAAAGCTATAAGTTAGGAGCTTATTTTGGGAACCTTACCAAACAGAGCTTATAGCTTATTAGTAGCTTAAAATAAGCTATAAGTTCCTAAATAAGCTCTGCCAAACAGAGCCGACGTCACTCACCATGGGCGGGAAAATCCAATAATCTGATTGGCCATAGAACTATAGAAGGATGTGAAATTTGAGCAGCTAGGCATTTGTCATTAGTACCAGGGTTTACGTCGTCGTATTTTAGTCAATCTCTCTCTAGGGGATTGATCGATGAAAGCGACGAATAATGGAGGGAAAACGCGCGTCTTTCTCATACGTGCCGCAGTACATTTCTTCTCTGTGATCCTCACCCGCCGGTTCTAAGTTATTCTCTGCGGAGTCCTTAGCAGTGTACCGATTTCACTTGGGTCGGAGCATAGAACTAGAAAGGTTCTCCTCTTCGCGCTTTATATTACAGGTTTGTCTCCGTATATGTATGTATTCTTCCGGCTTTTCTTTCTCTCATTGAAACTCCTATGAATAACTAGAAAGCTTGCATTGTCACAGCAGAACTTTTTGTCTCCGATTCTCCAGTGCTTATTTCTGCAAAAACATAGAAGCTTTAGGAATTTCGTAAGTTCAAATATATTTTTGTTTCGTATCCAATGGCTAGTTGTCGTCGAAGCAAATCAGCATCGAATCCAAGATGGGATATTATAAGTCAGCTGCCAGGAGATATTAAGGATAAAATTTTAGAGTGTTTCCCCACTCGAGATGCTGCCAGGATTGCTCTGCTCTCAACTGAGTGGAAGGCTATTTGGTTGCGGCATGGGCGGCTTTTGTTTGATATGCCCAGAAATGCAGAGGCTACGAACACATGGTGAACATAATAGGTCGCGTTATCATGCACTGTGCTGCAACAGTTAAGAGATTTACCCTTGCCAATTCCCAGTCTGATCTTATGCTGAATCAGTCTGATTTAAGCAGGTGGTGTTTTTTTCTATCAAGAAATGGGGTTGAGGAACTTAGCATTGCCTTGGTTGTTTTGGGACAAAAATATGATGTGCGATTTTGCATACTCTCTTGTCCTACAATTAGGCATCTGAACCTTGAAGGTTTCATTATTGATTGCCCGCGTAATGCTCCTTGTATATTTCCTAGTGTCACCTTATTACGGTTCAAGAACGTGGAGTTTAAGCATAATGCTAATGGAGTTGTTTCTAGAATTATTCCCAATCTTGACAAGCTGGCTTTTAGTGGTTCTTGTGGAGGGATCAATACTTTTGAGATCAGTGCTCCAAAACTTGAAAGCTTCTCTGCTATTGATGTACTGTATGTGTTTGAACCGAGATGGCTTACGTTTCATTTGAAAGCAATAACGACACTTTGTTTGTCTGGCCTGTTGTTGTCGGTGAGAATCTGGACTTCATATTATCTTAATGCAAAAGGATATATGTATGTAATACACACATCCATTATTTATACAGAATGATTTAGTTTTTGTTGTTGTTGGAATATTAAAAGTCTTGGGTAGCTCACTAGCCTTAGTAATTAAATGGGCAGCTCACAAGCCTTAGTAATTAAAGCCTTGGGGAGATGAGTAGTTTCTTTATTTATTATTGTTTACTCTTGTAGACCTATATATAGACTTGTAACTTGAAGTTAGATGAATATATACAAGAACCCTTTCTAGCTTTTAACATGGTATCAGAGCCACTTTTTTGGGGCCTGAAATTTCTCTCAAACACCTACAGCCGACGAACAGTGGTGACTGTTCATCATCCCTTTTCCGACAAAATTTTCCAAATCAGTTCGTCCCTTGTCTGCGATTATATGGTGATTTTCTCATATTTTTCTGAAAGCTATGGCAAAACATGAAAGTTTAAACAAAATGCTGAAAGTTGCCAGGACCAACTTGTCTCATACTGCTCTTGCATTAAAATCTGATTCATCTTGGATTCTTGATTCTGGAGCCACTGATCACATTTCTGGTAATCTCTCATTTTTCTCTAATATTGAGTTCTCAGATTCTCTTCCCGATGTCACATTTGGTGATGGATCAAAAGGAAAAGCTATAGGAATTGGAAAAATCACCATTCATTCTTTGTCTTTATCCAATGTCCTTTACATTACTGGTTGCCATTTCAATTTGATTTAAGTTAATCAACTTACTCACTCACTTAATTGCCTTGTCACCTTTTCTTCTGATTCGGTGGTTATTCAGAACCGTCAAACAAAAGGGACAATTGGTGTAGGATATGAATCACGAGGTCTTTACCATCTTTCATGTTCCGCCAATACCAAAACAGCTTGCTCGGCTTCTATTTCACCCCTTCTTAACCATTGTCGTTTAGGACATCCTGACCTCAATAAATTAAAACAACTGGTTCTTGGATTGTCGAATTTAAAAACCATAGAGTGTGAATCATGTCAGCTTGGGAAGCATTCAAGAGCTTCATATCCTAGTAGAGTGAATAAGAGGGCCAATACCCCATTTTCTTTAGTTCACTCTGATGTTTGGGGACCGTGTCGAGTTTCATCCACTTTGGGTTTCTCATATTTTGTTGTCTTCATTGATGATTTCTCTCGATGCACTTGGGTTTTTCTAATGAAGAACCGTTTTGAATTATTTGATGTGTTTCAAAAATTCTACAATGAAATTGTGAATCAATTTGGGGCATCTCTCAAAATCTTACGCAGTGATAATGCAAGAGAATATTTTTCTGACCCTTTTACTTCTTTCTTTTCCTCAAATGGAATACTTCATGAATCATCATGTGCTAGAACTCCTCAACAGAATGGAGTTGCTGAACGAAAAATTCGTCATCTTGTTGAAACAGCTCGTACTTTGCTTATTCATAACAAGGTACCTAAGAATTTTTTGGGGGCATGCTATACTTCACTCTTGCTATCTCATAAATCGAATGCCTTCCTCTGTTTTGCAAGGAAAAATTCCTCTTCATATCTTACGTCCACAGGAACCTCTCCATAAACTTCCATTGCGAATCTTTGGGTGTACTTGCTTTGTTCATAATACTTCTCTAGGGCGTGATAAACTTGATGCCAAGGCAATAAAATGTGTTTTCCTTGGGTATTCTCGCCTCCAAAAAGGCTTTAAGTGTTACTGTCCTAGAACACACCGGTTTTATACATCTTCCGATGTTACCTTTTTTGAAACAACACCTTTTTTCTCTTCCACCTCCGTTGAGTCTAATTTCCTAGGAGAACCCATTGAAATCATAGAAATTCTCCCTGTTCCTACTTTCTCAGAACCTATATCTCCCACTGTTCCTGAAAGGACCATACCTATTCCTGAAAGAACTATTCCAACTCCAACCATTCAAGAGGAAGGACATATTCCACCGTTGTTGTACACCTACCAACGATGCAATCATCAAGATTCCCAAGAGGATAGACATCCAGTTGAGTCATGTTCTACATCATTGTTACCCAATGATGCTGCCCAAAACACCACGACAGACTCTCCCATTGCCAGTCGGGTAGGTAAAAGATCCACTCGAAATCCTTACCCTATCTATAATTTCCTTTCACAAAAACGTCTGTCTCCATCATATTGTGCCTTCATTGCTAGTTTGTCAACTGCTTTTGTTCCAAACAATGTCAAGGAGGCATTAACTAATCCAAGGTGGACTCAAGCAATGGTTGATGAAATGAAAGCACTAAATTCTTCCGGGACTTGGGAGTTAGTACCTTTACCTCCTGGTAAAACTGTGGTTGGTTGTAGATGGGTGTATAATGTGAAGGTCAGTCCAGATGGACAAGTTGATAGACTTAAAGCTCGACTTGTGGCTAAAGGATACACACAGGTTTTTGGCATTGACTACACGGATACCTTCTCACCGGTGGCCAAGATCACTTCTATCCGCCTCTTACTCTCAATGGCAGCCAACCATCACTGGCCACTGTATCAGTTGGATATAAAGAATGCCTTCTTACATGGGGATCTGAATGAGGAAGTGTATATGGAGCAGCCACCTGGATTTGTGGCTAAGACAGGAGCTAATCTTGTTTGTCGTCTTAAGCGCTCTCTCTATGGGTTGAAGCAATCTCCACGTGCCTGGTTTGGGTGATTTAGAGATGTGATCCAACAATTTGGCATGATTCAAAGCAAGGCCGACCATTCTGTTTTCTATAAACATTTACTTGGAAAAAGTATATATCTTGTGGTTTATGTTGATGATATTGTCATTACAGGGAATGATAGTGAAGGAATAAATCAGCTTAAGAAACATTTGTTTCAACATTTCGAGACAAAGGATCTTGAAAAATTGAAGTATTTTCTTGGTATTGAAGTTGCTCAATCCAAACAAGGTATCTATGTGTCTCAACGAAAATATGTTTTGGATATTCTTGAAGAAACAGGAATGACAAATTGCAAACCAGTTGACACACCCATGGATCCAAATGTCAAACTTCTTCCAAGACAGGGGGAGCTCCTAAACAATCCAAGTAAGTATCGGAGATTAGTTGGCAAGCTATTGTACTTGACTATCACTCGACCAGACATCTCCTTTGTTGTAAGTGTAGTTAGCCAATTTTTGCAAGAGCCATGTCAAAGTCATTGGGATGCAGCCATCAGAATATTGAGATATGTGAAAAGGTCTCCAGGTACAGGGTTGCTCTATAAAGATCATGGACATACAGAAATTGTTGGCTATACAGATGCAGATTGGGCTGGATGTCCTTGGGATAGGAGATTAACATCAGGATATTGTATTCTATTTGGAGGTAATCTTGTCTCTTGGAAAAGTAAGAAACAAGATGTGGTTGCACGCTCAAGCGCAGAAGCTGAATACCGAGCAATGGCACTTGGAATATGTGAGCTAATTTGGGTTAAACAACTTCTTACAGAACTCAATTTCTATAAGCAAGGTCCTATGAAATTAATTTGTGATAATCAAGCAGCGCTCCACATTGCGTCTAATCCTGTCTACCATGAAAGGACTAAACATATTGAGGTTGATTGCCACTTTATACGAGAGAAGGTCGCGTCCGGAGACATTGTTACCACATTTGTTGGGTCAAATGATCAACTTGCTGATGTTCTCACTAAATCTCTCCGTGGACCTAGGATTGAATACATTTGTAGCAAGCTGGGAGCTTTTGATTTATACGCTCCAGCTTGAGGGGGAGTATTGGAATATTAAAAGTCTTGGGTAGCTCACTAGCCTTAGTAATTAAATGGGCAGCTCACAAGCCTTAGTAATTAAAGCCTTGGGGAGATGAGTAGTTTCTTTATTTATTATTGTTTACTCTTGTAGACCTATATATAGACTTGTAACTTGAAGTTAGATGAATATATACAAGAACCCTTTCTAGCTTTTAACAGTTGTTTATTATGTTTTTGAAGCGCAAACCTGTTGCAGCAGCCGTACCGAAATTCCCTACTGCAGTAAATCTGCAAGTAATGAAGCTGTATGAATTAAGTTTCGGTTGTGGGAAGCAGCTCACTGTTGCTATGCAATTGATTCAAAAATGTCCCAACCTATGTGAACTGGGGATTAATGCAAAAAAGGTTGAGTATATATTTGGCAATCATGCATGAATCTTCTATTTTTTTTTTTGTTCTTTTTCAAAGTTCCTCAGAGTTGTGCGTGTTTTTCATTTCTTCTTGAGTTGTAGTCTAGTTGTAGGGATGACAAAGCTTCAAGAATAAGAGTTTTGGAGGATCCAGATGGTTGCTTTAATATTCAGGATTTGAAGAAGCTTAACACAATCAAGTTTGAATGTCGTAGTGGATCCACACTCGAAATGCTATTTTTGAAAGCACTGCTCTCAAAATCCCCTCAACTTGAGAAAGTATTTATTCAGAAGGGTTGTACTATGGCATCTGATATCTCAAGGGAGTTGTTGTGCTTCCCGTATGCATCTCCAAAAGCACAATTCGTCTTCAAGAAGGCCTGGTTTCCACATACCCTTATTGGCCACCCTGATCTTTACGAATTTAGTATGGCGGCGGATTGGTAGCTCCATGGGTTAGGATGCAATATATAGAAATGTAATCAATGGCTGTGGTGAAAGTTGAAACTAAACTTTTTGTAAGACATGGATGGTATCCTAAGCTACTGTTCAGTAAGTATTATTTTGTAGAGCATTTTGAATCCTCTCTCAACCAGTAGAATCCAAGAATGACCCCGTTTTTTTGGTTAAGTTAATTGTAAACTTCAGGTGATGTGGGTGCTTAGCCAAGTGTTTCTTATGATTTCAATGCAATGATGTTTTAATTTCACTACATGTTTGTATACTTTGACTGCAGGAGCCCCAAGTCCTAACTGGCCTGGATGGCTTAGGCTTCTCACTCACTTATCCTTCTTTTGGATCTTTATTGGGTAAGTCAGCAAATGAGAATGATGATGGCATTTCATATAGTGCTTATGGAGTAAAATCATATTTTACTTTGTTTGGTTATAAGAGAATTATTCTTCAAGTTTGAGGAAAATGAATTTATTGTTATCTTTTTGATATTTTACTAGTATTGTCCTGTGCGATGCACGGTTAAGTATTGAAGATTTGTTTATAGCATTTCAATTAATCAAAATAAATTTATTTATTAGACGCCCATCCATTATGTTAAAGGTATTTGACGAACAAACAAAAAAGAATAACAATTTAATGTTTAACAAAAAGTAATTGTCATTCTATATTATGTAAATAACAAAATATTGGACATTATTAAACACTTTACGGTAAACAACGTTAGTAGTTGACGTACTAACATTGTTCGAGTGAGTAATAAGCGTTAGTGATATAAAATGAAAAATTATTTTAAATTACAAATTATTAAAGACCTCTTTGTAAACTACATTGGTGGTTGAATTACAACTATTGCCTGACTCATTACAAATCAAAATTTTGAGACCATTGAGATTGCTCATTCAAAATTTTCAAACAAAAATATTGATTATTGTAATTTTGCATTTTCTCTTTTTAAACAGATTAACTGGATTAATCGACTGACGTAATGGACTGACTGATTCAGCGATGAAGTCAGTCAGTAATAACAAATCATAGAGAAGATTAAAGAAAAGATAACAGCACAAAGCCAATGACACAGAATGTTTACCCAGTTCAATACAGTGTGTATCTACGTCTGGGGGATGATCACATAGGCGTCCAATCCACTAAATCATAATCCAATGTACAAAGGTAGATATACAATAATCTTACCCAAGTGCCCCACACAAGGTACATACCCAGTCTACACAGGTTTAGTGGATTGTTGAAGATGGAGAGCCATGCATACAGAAGTCCAATGAAATCCCTTCACTTGGAGAGCCCACTCTGATGCAGTCCACTTCAATGACGCTCTTTACAGTTGTTCCCACAACAGTGTGATCACAGTGTCTTTTCGTTTAAGCAGCAGCGATTCTTCTCAAGTTCATCATCTTAATCACCATGAACATGTTGTATTGAGAAGAGGCAAGGTAATCAAAGATCTGATCTCATAAAACTGATGTGGAGTGTTTCTTCTCTCTCAAGGCGTAACCCTAATTCTCTTAGAATGAGGGTACTTATAGATCCGTCGATAGAACACTCCTTCCATAGATGTCTTTGATTGTAGATGGTAGGACAATATTTGAAGAATGTAATCTTAAAGATTCCGTCCATACCTTTCCAAAGTAGATACGCTGATCTTCCTTCCAAAACTGTCTTCTGTAAACTGCGTACAGCTTTTAAGTAAACAGCTTCTTAAATCAGATATTCAGTGTCAGTTCTTCTGTTGTTGCTTCTGATTGATCAGTCTTCTGTAAAGCTGAACGGACACTACGCTAAACCTATATTAGTATGCCATAATAATTTGCCAATTATAAGATGGGGTTTTTGAACAATTAAAAACACTAACAAACTCCCCCTTTGGCTATTATTTGGCAAAACAACTCGACTATGTAGATAGACATAAACATAAAGAACTAAGATAGGTTATCATAAAGAAACAACCCATGAGTCTGATCTGATTACATAGCAGAACGAAAACAAAACACAGCATACATATCATGTTGGATTAAAATACAGTCTAAGAACATTCTTCAAATAAGAAAAAGGTGCCGTAAAAAACAACGCCCAGCAAGGGCCAGAAGGTACTAAAAAAAAATAAGAACTCCCCCTGAGTTCGTACTACTCCCCCTTTTTGCCAATGAGAGCCAAAGGTCAAGCATTGGAGGGAGTGTCACTGTCGGACTTCGCAGGTTCAGTAGCAGCAGCAGATTCAGATAGGCTTAAACGAAGAAGAATGGTTGTCAGCTCAGTACGGGCCCTAGTCAGTTGTTTAGCAATTATACCGTGAACTGTCTCAAGCTTAGAGACCCGTGCCTTTAACTGAATGGAGAGATGAAGATCCTTGGCATGGGGCGAGTCATCAGCCACAGTATCAGCTTCAGAATTGGAGGGGGCAGTTACCGGTATAACATCTCGAATGTGATCTCCAGTCAAAAGACGCCGATCAACAGTACAGAGCAGAGTTGGAATTATCACTTCACTCGGCATAGGCTCAAGACCCTGAGTTGTAAGAATGCCATAAATCAGATTCGGAAAGGGTAGCCTTACCTTCTGCTCTTGTGGATGGATCATGGTGAGGATGTGGTTGTAAATCCAGTTTCCCAGATCAATTGGCATCTTTAATTTGTTCCAATTCGGTACAAGAAACCAGCCAGGTGCTTACCAACCGTGTGAAAGTGAGCTGATGGGAGCCAGTTATGAAGAGCCAGACGATGCAGAATAACATATCTAGATGTGAGTTGAGAGCTCTGCAGATAATCCTTGTCACCCGTAGGCCAAGAGTCAATCTGTCCACCCTTTAGAGTCTTGGCCACCAAGTTCCAGTCTGTAATTGCCTCTTCTTGTACATCAGTCAGTCTATAGTATTGGTTGATCATGTCAGGCCCAAAGATGTACCACTTCCCTCTAATGAAAATCTACATTGGTCGTGGCCCGGTTAAGATGTCAATCTCGTCATTGAGATTACAGTAGAATTCATACGTGAGGAGCTTTGAGTATGGGCAGATGGCTGTGACAGTCTTCAGCAGCCCTACTTCATTCAGCAGTGGTAGAATATCACATACAGAATTCAGCTGATTCTCATCAACAGATCGTTGAACAATAAGATCTCGTCTGACCATAGTGGACCATTTTCCCTGAGCAGCTGGAGAAACAAACTGAGGCTTGTAAACAGATGTGTCAGACCCTTCAACAGGTTGAACTTCAGGAGTTATGCTTCGACCTCTAGAACGTGTGGATGGTTTACCCTTTCTAGCAGATGATGTAGCTATAGCAGCAGGTTGAACAACCGTAGGGCCCTTTTGTTTAACAGAAGACCTTAGAGTCTTAAACACTTGTTGAACAGGAGGATTTGTCTCAGGTTTTGCAGGCTCACTAGACTTCCTTTTCTTCTCTGGTTGATCTACATCAGCAGTGTCCTCACCAGAGTCAACCACAACCTTCACAGGAACATTCTTCCTTTTCGACCTTCTTGTCTCCTTGGATGGGGAGTGGACAGGAGACACAGAGTGACTAGAATCAGACACATGCGCAGATGAACCACCAAGGAGATTAGTGACCTCTCGTATTTTGAACGTGGTGGAATCAGGATGAGCAGTAGCTTCAACAGATGGAACCTGAGATGTAGGGGCTTGGGTGCCATAGACTTCAGCCAGTATTTTTTCATCTTCACTTGAGGATTCAGAAGGGTGAATCACTCTGTAGGGTTCTGGAATGGAGGCAGCAGGAAGACCAGCAAAATGCCTAACATGATCAAGACTCTCCGTCAAAGAGGAGGAGGTGTAGACTGGAATGCCAACCATTTTCTTGGGTTCATGGGGGCTTGAGGATTGCACATTCTCAATAGTAGCAGGCATATCAGAGGGATCAACAGAGGAGTCGACTTCTTGTGGGACATTAGCAACAACAGCAGGAGACAGAGAAATATTATCAGACTCAAACACAACCAAACTCAGATTGTTGGGCTCATCAATCGGTTTGTCTTCCTCTACAGATGCTTTAAGCGACTCACTATTCAAGGGATCAGACTTCTCAACAGGTAAGCAAGGAGGATCAACAGATATAGATGATTTCTCAGAGACTAAAGCAGGCACATTCTCAGAATCAACATGAACAATAGATGGGGCAGCATTAGACACTAGATTCTCAGGTTTATTAGGTGAAATTTGTATAGGAGAGTCAGAGGAATTTGACCTGTTTCACAGAATCTCAATACGATGCCTGGCCTCATTCTGAGCGGCCTGAAGATACAGGGGTTGAGCAATTTCTCGACGACGGGAGATTTCTTCAGACTCAAGGGCTCTTTGAGCAAAGTAATGGAGGAATGCCCCAGCGCGATTTCCATCCGAGGGTTCTGGAATAGATGCCGGATAAATGTCATCACCTGCTTCGGAGGCCAGCAGCAATAGTTCACTGGTGTCGTCGTCTGACCAGTCTGCATAAAACTCTGGATAATCGGACAGTACAGTGACAATGATTTCATCTCTGAGAATGGGATCAAGCCTCAATTTTTTCTTCATAGCCAACATAAGCAGGGTTTTGACGTGTTTGGTGGCTATTTCTTGTGAATGCACCTTTCTTCCAAGCTTGATGATCATATTACGAACTGCATCCGCCATTGATGAGAGATTCGAGAAGACGAAGAAGTAAACCCTAGATAGGAGATTAAGGAGAATACAGTCTGTGTGCTGAGAGAGTCTCTTGTTTGTTCTCTCAAGTCTTCCTTGATACTCGATTATAAGCCCAAGGGAGAAGAACCCCAATAAATGCAGCTAGTCAGAATACATGCAGCGCTGATGTGATTGACGCAACGATATACTTCCTTTTTAGGCAAGAAACGGATGCTAGGCATATTTCAAATTTGAAAAAGCCTAATTACTTTTATGGTAATATAGGTTAAGATATTCTCTTAACAAAAAGAAGGGAGTTTTTAAAAGGAAGTCAAAACTGAAATTTGACCAGAATACGTAAACCTTGCACTCTCCTTCTGATTGATGATCTGCCCTATTAGTCAATTCTGCAGATTCCCAGAGCAGATCTGAGAATCTCAAACCGGTTTTCGTCTAGGGGCTTAGTCAGGATATCAACCAACTGTTTCTCTGTTTGAATATATTCCAATTCAATCTCCTTTGATGCTACCAGATCTCTGATGTAGTGATGTCTTATATTAATATGCTTCGTTCTGGAGTGTTGAACTGGATTCTTTGAGATATTAATAGCACTGACATTGTCACAATAGAGTGTCATAATTCCTTGAGTAAGACCATAGTCTAATAACATATGTTTCATCCATACTAACTGAGTACAGCATCCACCACCAGCTATGTATTATGCCTCTGCAGTACTTAAGGAAATTGAGTTCTGTTTCTTACTCAGCCATGACACCAAGTTCTTACCAACAAAGAAGCAACCTGTAACACCCCGTGTTACGGCCTTTAATCCTGGATTAATTATTTAATTAATCCCGCTAATAATAATTAAATATGATTAATTATGTTAAGTTCCCCTTTAATTAATTAACTAATAGGGTCCACCATGAACCGTGGACCCTTGCCTAAATTAGAGGCTTAAGCCTATTAGGGATAAAGATAGTAAACCTTTTACTATTCAGATCCTAATTAGAAATCCTAGACCTAGTTATCTATTAGGAATAAAGGAAGTAGGCCTTTTACTATTCAGATTGTGATTAGGATCCGCTTTAATTAGTATGGACCCTTATCCCTAAAGCAAGTCCCTGAGTCCTATAAGGAATAAAATTAGTAAACCCATACCATTCAGGCCCTAATTAGGAGCCTTAAATATATAAATAGGGAACTTAGGAGACACCTAGAACTTCCCACACGCCTAAACGCCCCATCGCCCCAGGAGAGCTCCAAGAATTCCCTTAGAAGAAATCAAGAAAGCAAGAAAGCTTAAAGAAAGATCCTTCATAGCCAAGGAATTAATTAAGGCTAAGAGGTAACCCATGTCTCAACAAAACCTATTTTCATAGCTATGATTTCCCCTTAGGGTTTCCCCCATATTGTTGTAAATGGCGATTGATGATGATTATTATTGATGTCGATATAATGATTCCATGAGGAATCTTGGTAATCTTGATATTGGGAGTTTCTTGATAATTATGATGTTCTTGATGATTAATTGGGGTTTTGATGATTATGTGTTGTTCTTGATGATTACGATGTTTTTGATGATTAATTGTTATCCTTGATGACTATGTGTTGTTCCTACCGAATCTTGCAATAAGAAGACGAATTGTATTCTTGTTGATATAAAAGTGATTAGAACCCTAGGTTGTATCGTATGATATTATTCTTGGGTTATCGGGTGGGGAAATCGCATGTTTGGGTGTTGATTATGATTAGAAAAGCATGATAGGTTATGTGCCATTCGTTTATCGTATTTGATCCGTTAATTGTCTATGTGTTGTCGTTGATTACGTTGAAAAGTGTCTAAGCATGGTTTCGGGTTCCACAATGGTTCCCGGGACGAAAAGTGGTGAAAAGAGTCAGTGGGGGGTAGGGGACCCACCACCTACCCGCGGCAATTCGGGCAGCTCCGGCAGCGGGCAGCCGGCGGGCGGGCAGCTGCCCGCCGGGCACCCGCTGCCCGGAACAGTGATGGCTGGCGGGCAGCCGGCGGGTGGACCCCCACCCACCGGCTACCCGCTGGAATTTGTCCCCCCTCGGGACCCCGTCTTCCCCGTTTGATGTTTCCCCGATCCCCGTGGTGTCCCAACGGACCCCGTTTGTCGTGCCTATGTCTAGTTTGATATTTCGGGTACCGTTCGTGGGTTTATGAGTCTATTATTGCATGCTAGTTGAATTGGTATCCCGTTGACCTAGGAGGAAGAAGTATGATCCCCTTAGGACTATTCTTAGTACGTGATGGTTCACGCATAAGGTTGTTATACGCTTTATCCCCCTTCCCAATGTGTAATGTGGGTTGCATGTGCTTGCTATGCGTTATGTGTGCGTGTTGCCCCAATTCGGTTGCGATCGGATTGGTTATCCTGAGCTGCGGTTCAGAAGCCGGCTACAGTCAGATGGGAATTCCTGGCTGCAGTCGGATGACGGTATCCTGGGCTGCGGTCCAGAAGCTGGTGGTAGTCAGATGGGAATTCCTGGCTGCAATCAGGTGACATCTTTCCTGAGCTGCGGTTCAGAGGCTGGCTGTAGTCAGATGGGAATTCCTGGCTATAGTCAGATGACATACTCTCTTGGGCTGCGGTCCACTGTTTGGTTGCGATCAAACATTTTGATGAGCTGCGGTTCATCGGTCGGTTGCGATCGGCCTCCCCGTGTTGCGATACGGGCATGGTGCTGTGGGGCCGTGTCAGAGCTATATGCGCTGACCAGCATGTATGGGCATGCGAGTGGTCCTGTGGCACCAACAACGTGCGTTATGTGTTGTGATATGGACAAATGGTGATTATGAGTGTCTTGGGGGATGTGACTATGGGATTTATATTGGGGATTGTTCATGTTGGGTTATGATCTTTGTTTATGCTCTGCCTTATCTGCCTTATCTGTTGTGAACTGCATATGCTCGTTATAACTGTTGCTTGTGTCTGACCTTATCTGCCGAGTCATTCCCGGTTTTAAAGCTAGAGTTCGTAGGATATATTCTCATGCTCAAAATGGTTTTCGTATATCTATATATATATTGCTATACGTATTGTATTTCAACGCGTTGGAGTGGGTTACCAGCATTTCTCGCTGAACAGATATATTTGGCTTTCAGGCACAGAGGATTAGAGCACTGGAGCGCGCTAGAACTGGAGCGTAGAAGTAGTATAGTTTCCCTTTCGGCCTGCGTGCCGTGTTATGCATTTATATTTCAGGGGACAGTAGTTAGATAGCCTGTGCACCTGGGTTCTCTAGCCCAGGTGTGGCATAGCACCCCGTACACTTATGTTACGCTTTGGGATTTAATGAGATGTTACCTTTATTATTAAGTTTTAAATGTCTTGAAAATCAGGGGTGTTACACAACCACCAGATGTACTCTTACGGTCATCAATGTTCCCTGCCCAGTCAGCGTCACAGTATGCATTCAGACTCAGTTCACTGTCCTTGGAGTACCATAGACCATACTGACTCATTCCTTTTATATATTTCAGAATCCGTTTAGCAGCTATGAGGTGTGATTCCTTTGGATCAGATTGATACCTTGCACATATTCCAACACTAAACATTATGTCTGGTCGACTAGCCGTCAAGTGCAGCAGACTTCCTATCAGGCTTCGGTAGACTGTGTTATCCACTGATACACCAGTGTCATCTTTGGATACTTTTGTGGATGTGGAGATCGGTGTCCTGGATGGTTTACATGATTCCAGATCAAACTTCTTGACTAAATTCTTAGCATATTTCTCTTGTGAGATAAAGTACCCTTCAGAACATTGCTTAACTTGCAGTCCTAGAAAGTATGTCAGTTGACCAACCATTGACATCTCAAATTCTTTCTTCATAACTTTTACTAACTCATCTGTGTATTTCTGTAGAGTTGATCCAAACACAATGTCATCCACATAGATCTGAGCAATGGTGACATGACTCCCAGTAGTTTTCATGAATAAAGTTTTGTCAACACTCCCTCGTTTATAACCATGCTGTAGCAGATACTGAGTCAGTCGTTCATACCATGCCCGTGGGGCTTGTTTAAGACGATAGAGAGCCTTTCTAAGCTTGTAGACATGTGATGGATGTTCTAGATCTTCAAATCCCTTAGGTTGCGCCACATAGATATCTTCATGCAGGTACCCATTTAAAAATGCTGTCTTGACGTCCATCTGAAACAATGTAAATCCCAGAATGCATGCAACAGATAGTAGAATTCTGATTGACTCTAGTCTAGCCACAGGAGCAAATGTCTCATCATAGTCAATTCCTTCTATCTGAGTGTACCCTTGTGCCACTAACCGAGCTTTATTCTTTGCAATATTCCCAGCTTCATCAGTTTTGTTTTTGAAGATCCACTTTGTTCCAATTATGTTGACACCATCAGGTCGTGAAACTAGATCCCAAACATGATTTCGATCAATCTGATGTAGCTCCTCCTGCATTGCCTTGATCCACAGATATCCTGTAAAGCTTCTTTTACATTCCTGGGTTCTATCTTTGAGGTATAGCAAGCAGACCCAGATATTTCTATCAGATTATTTCTTATTCTGCTCCTGGTCTTCATCCCATCTGTTGGATCACCAATGATGTTATCTGATGGGTGGTTTTTCTGAGTTCTGGTGGGTTTGTCTTTACCTGTATCATTTATGAGAGTTGTCTCCTGTTCCGAACTTTCTTGATCTTCATATGAGGATTCTTGTGATTTGGCCTGACTGTTGCTGCCTGCAGTATTTAGTTCACTGAGAGGAAGCTTTGTCACTGGATCTGTCACTGTTGTGTCTACTGATTTTTCTGGACAGTCATCTATAACCACATTTACTTATTCCATCACAGATTGGGTTCTCTTGTTGTAGACTCTGTAGGCACGACTGTTTGGAGAGTATCCAAGGAAGATGCTCTCATCACTCTTAGGTTCAAACTTCCCCCTTTGTTCTCTATCAGCCAGCACATAACACTTTGTTCCGAACACATGAAAATACTTCAGGTTTGACTTCTTTCCCTTCCAGATCTCATATGGTGTTTTGGTCGTTCCTGGTCTAAGATAGACCCTATTAACAGTATGACAGGCTGTGTGTACTGCTTCAGCCCAGAAGCGCTGCGGCAGATGAGAGGCATGTAGCATAACTCTAGCCATTTCTTGTAGTGTTCGATTCTTTCTTTCCACCACACCATTCTGTTGAACAGTTCTAGGAGCTGAGAACTCATGTGAAATACCATGCTCAGAGCAGAAATCTGAATATAGTGAATTCTCAAATTCTTTTCCATGATCACTTCTCAGTCTCTGAACTTTTATTATAGACTCATTCTTTTCCTTCTTAACCCTTATGCACAGAGTTTTAAAGGCCTTGAATGCTTCTGATTTTTCTCTTAGAAAGTACACCCAGCTGTATCGAAAGAAATCATCTACACACGCAAATATGTATTTCTTTCCCCCAATGCTTTCAGTCTGTGTTGGCCCCATGAAGTCTATGTGAACAAGATCTAGACACTTCTCAGTGGTGATACCTCTGACTGCTTTGTGCGGTGTTCTGATTTGTTTCCCAATGGCACATGCACCACAAACTTTTTCCAGATCTATTCTGAACTTAGGTACACCTTTCACAGCTTCCAGTTTTATCAGCTTATCCATATCTCTGAAGTTTACGTGACCCAGTCGTCTATGCCAGAGTTTTGATTCATCAGTTTTGGATTGGTGACATGCAGTTTCATTTGCCAAAACATAACAATTGTCTGAGGACCGGGTTCCTTCCATGACAAGTTGATTTGCTTTGTCACTAACTCTGCAGCAGTTACGATCGAAGCACACATTCCAGTTTTGATCACACAGCTGACTGATGCTAATCAGATTAGCTTTCAACCCACTGACTAACAGAACTTCTTCTAATTGAGGCAAACCTGGTACATTCAGGGTACCTTTCCTAACTATTTTCCCTTTTTGTCCATCTCCATATGTTACAGCTCCACTGCTTGGTTGAACAGCCTTCAGACACTTTACATTTCCAGTCATATGTCTAGAACAGCCACTGTCGAAATACCATCTAGCTTCGGTTGTAGACGCAGTCAGAACTATAGTGGGGTAGCATATAACTTCTGACTTTCTGACCCAAACCTGTCTAGTAAACGGTGTAATAGTCTTGTTCTGATATTTCTCCTTCCTTTGATCTCTGTAGAAAAAATAACATTCAGGTCGAGTATGACCTTTTGTTTGACAGTAGTGAAAAATGGGTGTGTAATGTCTAACTTTTACAAGCTTATTTTTGAACCTTGAATAATGAGATTGATGGGTTACTTTGGCAAGGTCAGTATCTGCAGTCTGGTCATATCTCTTTCTCTTGTCAATTTTCTGCACTGACCGAGATGACTGTCCTTGTTCAAAGCTGTGAACTGCTGTGGTCTTAAACATACCCTCTTTGACAAACATAGGTGCATTATTCGAAGATTCACCTCGTTCAAAACCGAGACCTTTTTTGTCATTAGGATTTCTGCCAGAGTCTAGAATCTTGTCTAAAGTTGATGTGGTGTCCATCATCTGGATATATTTCTTCAGACCCTCCAGTTCCTTTATCAGTTTTCCTTCTCTGGATCTTATCTGAGTGATGAGATCTTCTTACATGACAAGGTCTGTATTCAGTTTTTTAGAAGATCATCCCTTTGCTTCAGTTCATCATTCAGATTTTTATTGACTTTCACTAGTTGTTCTCAGCTTGCAACAAGTTTAGCAAATTCTATTTCAAGTTGAGTATGTCTCTCTTCAAAATCATCAGTTGATATGTAAGATTCTTCATCTGATTGGTTTCCGTCTGACTGAATGTCTGTAGCTGTAAAGAAGGCTACAAAGTTTCCCACATTATCATCTGACTGATCATTGGATGTTTCCTCCTCATCATCGCTTAATGTAGCTACTGACATAGCCTTTTTCCTCTTGAGATACGTTGCACATTCAACCTGTATGTGACCATACCCTTCACATTCTCTACACTGCACTGACCAGTTGAGGGACTTCCCTGTCTCTGTGGAACTGTTTCTGTTCTGTCTTGTTCGACCAGTCTGAGATTGATTGTTCTGTGAAAAAGGAGTTGTTTCGGCTTTCTGATATGAGGAGTTATTGCCTTTGTATTGTGTCCTGGTGGGCTGACCATGACTCTTTCTGTTGAAACCTTTTAATATTTTCTTGAAATTCTTGGTTAGAAGGGCCAAAGTTTCATCATCTATGTCGTCTGTGTCAGATTCTCGATCAGCCTCAGCTACAAAAGCCACTGACTTTCCTTTTCTGTTGCTTGCAAGATCATCATCGGCAAACACTTCTAGTTCGTATGTGTGTAAGCTTCCCATAAGTTCTCCGACAGTCATCTTTTCCCAACCTGTGTGTTCCTGAATAGCAGTTACTTTCATCCGGAAGCGTTTAGGCAAAGATCGAAGGATCTTTTTGACTACTCTCTCATCAGTGAATGGTTCACCAAGAATTGAGGCTTTGTTTATCAGATTCTGAACCTGACTGTGAAAGGTCGAAATGGTTTCCTCTTCATTCATTCTAAGGGCTTTGAATTCTGACAGTACCATTTATAGCTTTGACTGCTTGACATCACTAGTTCCCTCAAATCTGGTTTCAAGAATTTCCCATACACGTTTAGCTTCTGTTACCCCGGTGACAAGAGTAAATACAGATTCATGCAGAGATCCTACAATCGAGTTCAAAGCTTTGTTGTTTAGATCAGAGGCATTCATTTCATCGTCTGTCCAAGTCTCCATGGGCTTATCTCCAGTGGTTCCATCCTCATTCTTAACAGTTGGACGACTCCACCCAGTTAGGACAGTACGATAAACCCTGGTACCTTGTGCTTGGAGATATATCTCCATGCGAACCTTCCAGAATGAGTAGTTGTGACCATCTAGTTCTGGTGGTTTCATACTTGCATCCATCCTGAACAAAAGCAACCAGCCAACGAACACACAGAGGCACTTCCAAAAGATAGAGAACAATGCAAAACTAAAACAACCCGTACGGATCAAGTCACTATGTAGACTTAAAAGCTCTGATACCGCATGTAATTTTGCATTTTCTCTTTTTAAACAGATTAACTAGATTAATCGACTGACGTAATGGACTGATTGATTCAGCGATGAAGTCAGTCAGTAATAACAAATCATAGAGAATATTAAGGAAAAGATAATAGCACAAAGCCAACGACACAGAATGTTTACCCAGTTCGATACAGTGTGTATCTACGTCTGGGGGACGATCACATAGGCATCCAATCCACTAAATCATAATCCAATGTACAAAGGTAGATATACAATAATCTTACCCAAGTGCCCCACACAAGGTACATACCCAGTCTACACAGGTTTAGTGGATTGTTGAAGATGGAGAGCTATGCATACAAAAGTCCAATGAAATCCCTTCACTTGGAGAGCCCACTCTGATGCAGTCCACTTCAATGACGCTCTTTACAGTTGTTCCCACAACAGTGTGATCACAGTGTCTTTTCGTTTAAGCAGCAGCGATTCTTCTCAAGTTCATCATCTTAATCACCATGAACATGTTGTATTGAGAAGAGGCAAGGTAATCAAAGATCTGATCTCATAAAACTAATGTGGAGTGTTTCTTCTCTCTCAAGGCGTAACCCTAATTCTCTTAGAATGAGGGTACTTATAGATCCGTCGATAGAACACTCCTTCCATAGATGTCTTTGATTGTAGATGGTAGGACAATATTTGAAGAATGTAATCTTAAAGATTCCGTCCATACCTTTCCAAAGCAGATACGTTGATCTTCCTTCCAAAACTGTCTTCTGTAAACCGCGTACAGCTTTTAAGTAAACAGCTTCTCAAATCAGATCTTCAGTGTCAGTTTTTCTGTTATTGCTTCTGATTGATCAGTCTTCTGTAAAGCTAAACGGACACTAAGCTAAACCTATCTTAGTATGCCATAATAATTTGCCAATTATAAGATGGGGTTTTTGAACAATTAAAAACACTAACAATTATAATTTGTTATCTGTCTACTATAAAAAGAACATACACAACAAATATAAAAAGCATAAAAATACCGTTACATCGTTTTGTATGTAATAGTATAAAAAGACAACAGACAGACAGACACCCACACTCACAATCGGTAATATATTTACATTTATATCGAAACTTTTACATTTACAATTATTATTATTTTTAATTTTTTTTCAATTAAATTGTTTTCAATCAGCATTCTTATATTAATTCTGATTATTATAGATCTTTTTTTTTTTTGTAAATAGAATGTGTGTTGATTCATTTTAACTTAAATTTGCCTATACTTCTATCTAGAAATTTAATTCTCACATTCTGTTTTATTTATTTAATATTTATTTATGTAAACAACATGTGTGCTGCTCCAAATTTGCAGTAGAGGTCATTGTCACAGATTCAACACAGCTCCCTGTAAAAGTGAAATCTGGTGTTTTCAATTCTAAGCCTCTTCCCACTTTAATTTTCAATTCCAAAGAGACAGGCACTACTGCCCTTAGAAATAAATGTATCCCAATGTAATAGACAAAGTAAGGCATGACAAAACTTAATAAAAATTGAATTAAAATTACAAACCATTAAATACTTCGTGATAAACAATATTAGTAATCGAAATACAACTCGTTTCAACTTCATCGGCAATATACAATTGGTCATGTACAAACACAGTTTCCTAGCCTAGCGAAATGATTTACCTAATATATTGAGCTCATCTAGAACATGTTTAATATCTCCAACTATATCGTATTTGGTAGAAATATTAACAACTTTCACCTACTGCTTTAAATTATCATTATCTGAAAGGAAAATAATATAAAAATTAGTCTAGACAAATTAATATATAAAAACTTATATACACTCCAATATATACAAAATATCATGTAAGAATAAATATATAAAAAAAAAACATTACAAAAGTACTCGTATAAAAGATTATATAAAAAACAACTAAATAAATAATACATATATTATGTAATATGTAATTAATATACATATATATTAATATATATTGTGGTCTTAGACCACCGAATGGATCTGGAAACTTCTTGCTCTTGGCATTTTTCTTGATCTTATCGCTAATCGCTGCAATGGATCGGGATCTGAAAACTTCACTCACTCTCCATCCAGATCCAATAAATCCAACTCACTCTACTGATGCGGCCCAACATAATGAAGATCCATTAAGAGTACAAATTGGGCCAATCACAAGATCCAAGGCCCAAATAAGCTTTATTATTTGTGGTCATCGTCATTTTAAATTGTTTGGAATTAAAGAGAAAATACTAGTTTATATTTAGAAATGATTCCTTAAATCTCTTTCTAAATAGGACTATATTTACTTGCTTTCTAGATTAAATTTAGGACTCTTTTTGTATTTAGAAAAGGATTCCTTAAATCCCTTTCTAAATAGGACTATATTTACTTGCTTTCTACATTAGGTTTAGGACTCTTTTTCCCATTGTATTTAGGATTACAATGCTGCCCTATACCTATAAACATGTGACATCCATATCAGTTTTAGGGAGGCTTTAATTCAATAAAATTCTTAAGTTTTTCTTTTTTAAAAAAAAAAAAAGAAGAAAAAAAGAAGAAGAATAAGGTTGGGGAAAGAATAAGGTTGGTAGGAGAATCTTGGAGGGAAAAGTATAAGGTTGGAAGGAGTTCTTGATAGATTCCTAATTGGTTGTGGTACACGTGAACCCCTTTTATATTCTATTTGTCTCTATCTTTTGATATTGGTCTTGCATATCTTTATGCCATATTTCATTCTTTGGTTTCCTTTTTCTTTCAAATCTTGTTTAGTTTCTTTGCTCGTATTGTCCTTTTTCTTTGCTTCTTGCTCTCAATTTTATTACCTACCTCGCGGTACACTTTACTCTCAAAGGCTTGTGAAGTCTTCCAAGGTACGTTTTCTTAAACTTTGAGGTTGAATCCATATCAACTTGAGTACCATACTAGAATTTTCCTTTTTGGAAAAAGGATTGTGAGAGTATCTGCCACCTTGAGCGATACACGAGTGGAGTGTGTGTTTGTAAGAGTGTGTAGTGCACCCCCAGAGCCATATAATCCACCTCTTACCTGTGAGCTGAGAATAGAGAGGGAGTGAGCCAACTTGTTGGTTTCACTAACATGAATACTCACATATCTTCTTGTTTTTAGATTTTGTTTCTCATCTACAGATGGCTGAAGAGGTTCCAAACACACGTAAGAGATTAGAGCAGAAAATAGATGCTCTAGCCGTTGCCATGGAAGGTTTAAGCACTCGAATGACTAATCTAGAGCAACACCCTAAGAGAGTGCAACTGCCACTCTATACTAGGGGAAACATTCATGGAAAGGGATGCATTATTGTTATCAATTCGGATCGTTGTATGAATTTAGCTAGTGCAGCCATGGTGGACTACCTTAAGTTACCTCTTATCAATCACCCCCAACCATACAATCTTATTGATTCAGGGGATGTGAGAGTGACTAAACAAGTTTTTATTCCTTTTTGTATTGGCAAGTATTATGATGAGGTTCTATGTGATATTGTGTCAATGCGTACTGCACATGTTTCACTTGGAAGGTCATGGCAACATGATAGACATTTTTATCATAATGCACTCAACAACACATTCAATGTCACCTATAATAGATTTATACATGTGCTTAAGCCTCTACTTCCAAAACAAGTAGAAGAAATTCAACTGAGATCGAAGCAAGCTCTCAAACCATCATTGAAGAAAGAAGAAATCAAAGAGAGAAAACTGGAACCTCCACGTTTAGAATTGGAGTCACCACTCCAGTCCTCTAACTTAGATTGTAGCCAAACAAAGGAACCGCTATTAGTGGTACAGTGGAAAGAACCAGCCAGAGCTATCAAAGTGCAGCCTCGCTTGCTAACAAAAAAGGATAATAAGCAAGAGAAAAGAAGGGGAGTAACTATTTACTCACTTTTATTTCAAAAGCATGCATTAAAATTCTCTAGATTTGTTTGCCATGTTTCTATTAATGACCTACTTGCTAGATATGTTAGAAATTTGTTTCCCTCCATACATCCAAGATTCCTTAATTTTGATTTTACTAAAACTTTATTTGATAGAGATAAGGAATCACTTGGAAGTTATAAGGCACATTTGAAAACTTCTTATGGCAAATACTACTTGCACAAGGGGTTTTGGTTCAAAGTCAATGGGATTGGCACTTTTTGCTTTGTTTTGGGCAATGATTTAATTGTTGATTCACATAAGGGACATTTTGATTTTCCAAAGAGTGATGATGTTTTGCATGAATATTTTCATTGGCCAAAGAAGAAAAAAGATGTAGAATCTTATGTTCAGAATTGTGCTACTTACCACCATAATACATCTAAATCATTACTTGATATTTCCATGAATTTTCTGTTTGATTTTACCTTAAGCTCTAGGAGGAAAGATTTTGTGCTTGTTGACAATTCAAACAAGATGCCTAAATTTAATATGTCTCATTTTGTTGAATTATTACCATCCAGAATGTTTAAATTCTATGATGTGTCATTAGACTTAATTGCCTTACTTGTTGATTGTAGGATGATGATTGGAGCGACTCATGTCAAGCATTCCAAGAAAAAGTTACATGAGCGTGATAAAATAGAAAGTGAGCTTGCTACTTTGTCTTTCATTGAAGATTTGGTTTCGAGGACGAATCCTTTTCAAGAATGGGAGAATAATAGGAACCACTACACATGGAATCCAATAAGGGTAAATAGTGGGCTCATCACAAGGCCCATAACTGCATCCTTAAAGCATCAATGGTGGAAGAAACAAGAACGTCCAATAAAAATTCCATTCGAATTGTGAAGAGTGAAGAGTTATTTATAGTGTTAGATTTATAGAAGCATTCATTTTAAAATTAATGTTTAGTCTTCAACAGTCATCTACTCATATTTCATTCTATGTAATGTTTAGTCTTCAACAGTAAGCTGCTCATCTTCCATTTCATGTATTGAATATATTATTAAATGTGATATTAATATTATTTTATTATTTTATTATTTATATTTTATTATTTATTTTACATATTTTTGGTAGAAACTGCACATTTTGCTTTATTATAATAAAAGATATATATATATATATATATATATATATATATATATATATATATATATAGAGAGAGAGAGAGAGAGAGAGAGGCTAATATGTCAATATAATAAAGAGCAATCATTATAATTATAATTTCTAAAACAATTAACAATTAATAATAATAATAATAATTATTTTTTGAATATTTTATATTCATTAGTAAAAAAAATTTCTTACATACCCCAAATGTTTAATGAAAATCTTTTTCTACATATCCTAAATGTTATGTAGATTGACTGTGTAAACTGAAGTGTTTTACTCCTGAAAACCGATGGAAAACAAGTTGTACATAGGAGCCTATATATACAGGCTAATAGTAGGATTCAGTCACTCATTTGAATTTCAAAATGAGTAGCTGAGAGTCATTTGCTAACAACCTTCTAACATGTTACAACTTAGCCTGTCATTCCAAGCATTGCAATTAAACCATAATCAAAATTTAACCTTAACCTCTTTTTAAAAAATAAATAAATAAATAAATCTTAACTTCCTATGTGAGAATATCAGAAACTGCAAGGATACTCAAATTAACAAGTCTACATCACTTAAATGTATATAGAAGGTATGGAATCAAGACACAAAATCAATTGAACACAAGTACAATAAGATTCTTAGCCAATAATAACTATTTTCACTTTTGTAGAGGCATAAGAAAAATGTATAAGCTCCTCCATGTATTTTTCAAAGTCCTCATCATTGTAGCACATTGGTGACCGAGTGATGACAACCTCCTCAAGTGCTGGAAAGCAAGCAAGTAGCTGCTTGATGAAAACAATACAATCCTCAAATGGTACAAATTCAATCAGCTTCAAATACTGTAACATTTTAAGACTTTGAGCTACAGTACAAAATTCGTCGCTGTTTGGAAAAATATCAAAAATCTTCATAAAAGCCAAAAAAAAAAAAAAGTTAAAACATTTACACAACAAAATTGCATAAAGGAATGCAAAATAATAATAACAACAACAACAAAAACAGTAATAACAATAATATTTAAAACAACTAGAATCAAGAAAATTACCGATAAATTTAATTCAAGTTAACATAATTTTGGGCATATTCGAAGCAAATGAATGAATTCTGAAGAAACGTCACTGGTCAAATAAGTGCTTTCTGATACTTCTAACATGTCCCCTTCTAGTACAAGTGGTTGTGGTTGCAGTCCCCTTCTAGTACATCCTTTAACAAAATCCTTTGAAACCAAATAGAAATGAAGTTAGATTAGTTCCTAACAAATACAATTAAACAAAATAGAGGCTGGCTAAGATACTGACATACCGTGAGAGAATAATTATCCAAATCAAGAGTACAAACAGAACTCAAATCCAAGCTAATAGGGAGTTGGAAAATATGGCAATCGTTGATTGTTAAACTATCAAGTTTTTGAGCAGTAATGTTCACATTGGACATGTTATCACATCTCATAAATGAGAGATTCTTCAGCATAGGAAAATCAACCGGAACCGAAGATCAACACCTTCAAAGTCAACATAATCAAAACAAAGTGATGTGAAGTTTGGTAATGTGCAATGGCCATTTATTGATTCAACAGAGATTCCATTATTAAGATGCAATCTCCTTAATGTTAGGCAAGAGAATATGCAATTCGGAAGCCTGTATTCATCTCCATCCATAAGACTAAGGTAAATTTCTTCAACACCTTTTCGTGTGACAAAAAATAACCACTCGTCCAAGTAAAATGACCGAGGCCTAAGCGTATTCCTACTATAATAGGCATCGTGAAAATCAATGACAAATTTGCGGATAAGACCATTGTGCTGGTTGAAGACTTTGTTGATTACATACATAGCCGCATACACTTTCTTCCCATAATCCAGATAACTTTAATATATAAAAATTAATGAATAAATAAATTAAAATTGAAACAAAACCTTAGGACGGGTGAAATCGACAATAGTAAATTAGTAATTATAAATTGCAAGCCTCAGTTCTATGCAAGGAAGATACTAATTTTGAAAGATGTAAAATTAAAGGGACTTATCCTAACCCACTGAAGCCATTATGAGCTTTATGCTATAGAAAGCATGAAGCATGATTAAAGTAGATTAGTACACCCAAACATTTCAAAAATCAATACCAAAAGCCAATATTGTACGGTGAAACTCGGCCAGTTAATCGAAAAGAAGGAACATATCAACATAGAAACCATTGGTTTTTCAAGGTGGCTAGTACATTAAAGATGGTGAATCTGCAATAAATAAATGCATTTTTTTTTACAATAACACCGATAGTGGTTTTTGTTATTTTTTTTGGTTTCAACCGGTTTAATTGATTTAAGATTTTACTAAAACCAGTTGAAAAATATTATTACTAAAAAAACAGAGGTTACATTGTTGAATAGTAGAAAGATTCATTGTATTCAACTCAAAAGAACTGTACAAACATCTACTATTTAAATAGGAATATGCTATTAACCTAATGGGCCTATTTCTAAAAGGACCTAGGGTTTCAACACTCCCCCTCAAGCTGGAGAGTATAAATCATATGCTCCAAGCTTGTTACAAATATACTCAACCCTAGGAGCTCTAAGGGGTTTTGTCAAAATATCAGCCAATATTGATCTGCAGAGTTGACAAAGCTTGTTTTGATACACCCTGACACAATCTTCTCTCTAATGAAGTGACAATCAACCTCAATATGTTTGGTTCTCTCATGATAAACTGGATTTGAGGCAATATGTAGAGCTGCTTGGTTGTCACATATCAATGTCATTTGAGCAACCTTGCCACATTGCAACTCTTGTAGTAAGTGCTTCAGCCACATAAGCTCACACGTGGCAAGGGCCATGGCTCGGTATTCAGCTTCATCACTGGACCTGGCAACAACATCTTGCTTCTTACTTTTCCAAGATATGAGATTACCACCAATGAGTACACAATAACCTGAAGTAGAGCGTCGGTCAAACGGACAACCAGCCCAATCTGCATCAGAATACCCAACAACCTGAGTATGTCCTCTATCTTCATATAGTAAACCTTGTCCTGGTGCTCTCTTGATATACCTTAGAACCCGAACAGCAGCATCCCAATGAGTATCACAAGGATTCTCAAGAAACTGACTCAACACACTAACTGCAAAAGAGATATCTGGTCGTGTGATTGTGAGATAATTCAATTTTCCAATTAGTCTCCTATATCGTTCTCGGTCAAGTAATGGCTCCCCCTGTCCTGGTAAGAGTTTAACATTCGGATCCATTGGATTATCCACCGGTCTACAATCCAACATGCCAGTTTCTTCTAAAATATCCAGTGCATACTTTCTTTGAGAAATGACAATACCACTACTAGACTGGGCTACTTCAATTCCAAGAAAGTATTTCAGTTTACCCAAATCCTTAGTCTGAAATCGACTGAAGAGATACTCTTTCAACTGAGATATGCCCTCTTGATCACTCCCTGTAATAACAATGTCATCCACATATACTACAAGGTATATGCATTTCCCATTAGAATGACGATAGAAAATAGAATGATCAACTTCACTTCTAGTCATACCAATCGTGCCTTAAGGCGATCAATCTTGCATCAGGGCCCACCTTCACAGTATAAATCCACCTACAACCAACAATAGTTTTACCAGGAGGGAGGGGAACCAACTCCCATGTTCCACTAGACTCCAGGGCCTCCATCTCAGTGAACATGGCTTGGCGCCAATCGGGATCCGAGAGGGCCTCACGAGTGGATTTAGGTATAGACACAGAAGAAAGGTGAGAAAGGAAGGCAAAGTATGAGTATCCAATCTCAAGCTTTCAAAGGAGTGTCCTAAATGGGTTTGAGTTATTTGTTATTTAGTTATTTTGGGTTATCACTCATTTGTGTAACAAGTTGGGCATTATTAAAATATATGCTCCAACTTGAGGGGGAGTGTTAAGGAATATATATTTGATATATAGAATCTCTATATATTAGGCAGTTTAGGGTTTTAGGTAGGTAGGACATATGGAAACTTTCCTATTCGTAGTTTTCTAGTACCTATTTATAGGGCTTTGTATTTTCTATTCCTATGAGAGTTTGATATAATATATGACAGCACATTAGAAACTCTCTCTCTTCACTTTCGTAACATACATAAAGTTATAAACCAATTAAACCGGTTGAAATATGAAAAATAATAAAAGAAAAATATGAAGAGACAAAAATGCATTTACTAAAAATAGAAAAAGTGATGAGAAGGACTAAAAGTGTCCAAAAAAATAATAGTCTGGGACGAAATTTTGAATTGCCACCAAAGACAAAGGGACCTCCGGTGGAATTAACTGTATAAATAATAAGTATTAATAAAAATCATTGAAAATTGGTAATGGTTATAGTTTTATTCTGTATCAACTCGGAATAAGAAAGCTTCAAGAAAGTTCTGCAGAACACCGATCCAAGTGGTCATCGAACCGCTGTACTCGGCGGAGAGATCAACTCGGACAATTTGGAACGCAGTACTAAGAAGACGAAGCATGGCGATTTGCCACCTCCGGCGAAACAGCCATCTCCGATAGCAGACATTGTGCTTGAAACACCAATGGACAACGATGCTGGGTTTCTGACTCCTCAATCCGGTGCATCAACACCGGCTACCTTCGGACGAACGCCACGGGATTCAAACATTCCAATGACGGAAGACGTGGATTCTAACAAAGACATAGCCTCAGACGATGACACAATGGGGGAAGACACGGAAGATGAAGACTGCCCGATGATACTAGTCACTAAGGCAAAGGAGGAGAAAAAAAAAGGCTATAGAAAATAATTAAAAATCTATAGATGTATAAAATAAACATCTTATACTATTCAATATACATATCTCTAGGGCTAATATGTCAATTTAATGAAGAACAATAATGATAATTATAATTACTATAGCTATTTAATAATTAATAATAATAATAATAATAATAATAATAATAATAATTTTTTGAATATTATATATTCATGGATGAAAATCGTTTCCTACGTACCCCAAATGAGACAACTTAGCTTGTCATTTCAAGACTTTCAAAAAAAAAAAGCTTGTCATTTCAAGTATTGCAATTAAATGTAATGACAATAACCAAAATTTAATTGGATTAATCTTATCCAGCTATATGAGAATATATTAGTATAACTTGCAAGAAAACTCAATTCAATATCAGTACAATAATATCCTTAGCCAATAATAAATATTTTAGCTTTTGTGGAGGCACAAGAAAAATGCAAAAGCTCCTCTTCGTAATTTTCAAAGTCCTCATAATCGTCAGAGTCCTCATCGTAATCGCACACTTCTGAACGTGTAATAACAACCTTCTCAAGTGCAGGAAAGAAAGCAAGTAGCCCCTTGATGAAAACAATATCCTCCTCGTGCGCCAAAAAATCTATCAGATTCAAATTGTGAAGCTTTTCAAGTCCTTGAGCTACAGTATGAAATTCCTCGGAAAGTGTTCCCAAAACATCAATTAACTTCATAGAAGAAAAAAAAACATTTAGACAACAAAATTGTATTAAGGAATGCAATAACAATAACAATAATAATAGCAATAGCAATAGCAATAGCAATAGCAATAGCAATAGTAATAGTAATAGTAATGGAAACAACTAAAACCAACTAAAGAATTAATACAGGGAAATTACCAATAAACTTATATCAAGTTGGCATAATTTTGGGCACATTCGAAGCAAATGAATGAATGCAGAAGAAATGTCATCCCTTAAAAAAGTGTGCTCTGATACTCTCAAGCATTCCACATTTAGTGCAAGTGGTTGTGGTTGTACTCCCCTCAAAACAAAGTGAAATGACATTTGGCAATGTCCAGTGGGCATTTATTGATTCAACAGAGACTCCATTAAGATTCAATCCCCTTAGTGTTGGGCAAGAAAATATGCAATTTGGCATCCTGTATCTATATTCATTCATAAGAGTAAGATCGATTTCTTCAACACCTTTTCGTGTGACAAAAAGGAACCACTGGTCCAAGTCAAACGATCGGGACCTAAGCATTTTCCTACTATGATAGGCATTGTGAAAGTCAATGACAAATTTGCGGATAAGACCATTGTGCTGGTTGAGGACTTTGTTGATTACATACATAGCTGCAGACATCCAAATATCATTGTTTTTCTTTTGTTGCTCTTGTGTGGTTTGGGTCCTGATATCGATGAGAGCATGGGAATATTTTATGGTAATGTGGAAAAGAAACATAGAGTCAAAGTTGAGCTGTGTAAGTTTGAACCACATATCTCTCCAAAAGGTAGACAAAACAGCCATTCTAGCAGCTTGTTTAATCGGTAAGAACCCCAAAATCTTGTCAACTATATCTACAGGGAGTTCACTGATTCTATCCCTCCGCTGACATTTTCTCCCCATAATCCAGATAACTTTAATATATGCAAATTAAAGAATAAATAAATTAAAATTGAAACATAACCTTAAGATGGGTGAAATCGAAAAATAATAAATTTGTAATTATAAATTGCAAGTAAGACAGAAAGATACTAATTTTGAATGATGCAAGATGCAAAATTTAATGCTAACCCACTGAAGTCATTTTGAGCTTTATGCTATAGAAAGCATGAAGCATGATTAAGGTAATAGGATTAGTTCACCCAAACATTTCAAAAATCAAGACAAACTTCTTAAGATGCATCAATACCTAGGGGTGTTCAATCGGTTAACCGAATCGATTTAACCGAAAATTTTAAACCGTTAACCGAATCGAAGTTTGTGTTACCGAATTAATCGAACCAAAATTTGTTTCGGTTACTCGGTCGATTAACCGAACTTTTTTAAACTAAAATTTAAAATCTTAAAAATAACACCTAAAATAATAAATTCAATTAAAATAATACATATCATAATAAATTCATAACAAAATATACAAAAAAAAAAAATCGTAACAAAACTATAAACATATCAAATTACAGATTAAATTTAAATATTTAATACATTATATATATATATATATATATATATATATATATATATTAAAAATTTCGGTTAACCGACACTTTCAAACCATTAATCAAACCGAAAAAGTTCGGTTAAAAAACGGTTAACCGAACTTTGTCGGTTCGGTCGGTTAATCGAAAATTATCGCTTGCACACCCCTATCAATACCACAAAAATAATACTCTACAGTGAAACTCTGCCAGCTAATCGAAAAGAAGGAACATATCAACACAGAAACCACTCGTTTCTCAAGGAGGCTAGTACAGGAAAAAGTGTACATTTTTAGACAACAAGTTGAACTTGGATTAATTCTAACAAAACTGCAGGGAAGAAAAACAGTAAACGATACTTCAACACTTCATTTAATTTCAATCGCCCTATGAACACTTATAATATAAGTTGATGAAAGAGTTGGGTAAATCACAGTATGAAGCTAGTTTCAGCGAGGGTGGGCTCATCACAAGGCCCATAACTGCATCCTTAAAGCATCAATGGTGGAAGAAACAAGAACGTCCAATAAAAATTCCATTCGATAGAGGAAAGTATTATAAGTGGCCCGTTTCAAGTGATATCACAGATCGAAGACAATGTTTAGAAAATTCGAGGTCGGATCATTTTTCAAGAAGGGGGATGATGCGACCCAACATAATGAAGATCCATTAAGAGTACAAATTGGGCCAATCACAAGATCCAAGGCCCAAATAAGCTTTATTATTTGTGGTCATCGTCATTTTAAATTGTTTGGAATTAAAGAGAAAACACTAGTTTGTATTTAGAAAGGATTCCTTAAATCCCTTTCTAAATAGGACTATATTTACTTGCTTTCTAGATTAAGTTTAGGACTCTTTTTGTATTTAGAAAAGGATTCCTTAAATCCCTTTCTAAATAGGACTATATTTACTTGCTTTCTACATTAGGTTTAGGACTCTTTTTCCCATTGTATTTAGGATTACATTGCTGCCCTATACCTATAAATATGGCACATCCATATCAGTTTTAGGGAGACTTTAATTCAATAAAATTCTTAAGGTTTTCTTTACACTTGTGTAAGAAACCTTATGGCTAATTGTGGACTCAATTAGTGGCTAGTCGTGGACTCGACAAGCAAATTGATTCGTGGACTCGAATCAATCTTACTTTCTTCAACCTTAGATTTAGGTTCGTGGACTCGTTCTTGAATCGAAGTAAACTAGATCCGACTCTAGTTGATTGAAGATTGCAACATCGAGGTACTTGAAGCTACATGGGATTCTTCTAAGTCTTTGAGGATTCGAGACAAAGGGTTTCTCGTGAGGTCTAAGGTATTTTGATCCATCTCTATCTTTGCATTGAGAGTAATCTTGGGATAATACTCCATCTTATTTGAATCTTGGACTAGGTTCATATCATCTACACTACAGCAGCTGAATCTTTCTTATGTGTTACTGCTACTCCGTTAATGGTTTCGTTATTTTTGGTATTCGTGTCCTTTCGAAGCAGATCTAAGCCTCTTGTCTTGGATGTTTTTGGTTTGCGGAACCTATTCTACGCAAACAAATCTTCAATTACGGCAGTACATATGAACTCAACTGGCTGACATTGGCTTATAAAGACAGGTATTGAACATTTTTATTGAGCAAATATGAACAGCTGGTACATATGTTATTCAGAGTTATTACCTTTTCCTTCCTATCGCGGCTGATCTTGTTAGTTGCTTCATTCTCTGAGTAATTCAGTTTGTAGCTTATCGCAACATGCTTAATACTCATTTTATATGCAGATATCACAGATCCCGTGTTTTAGCCACATCATTTCAGCCTTTCTCCTCCGTATACATGAACTTGTTTCATGAATTGTGAAGAGTGAAGACTTATTTATAGTGTTAGATTTATAGAAGCATTCATTTTAAAATTAATGTTTAGTCTTCAACAGTCATCTACTCATCTTTCATTCCATGTAATGTTTAGTCTTCAACAGTATGCTGCTCATCTCCCATTCCATGTATTGAATATATTCTAAATGTGATATTAATATTATTTTATTATTTTATTATTTATATTTTATTATTTATTTTACATATTTTTGGTAAAAACTGCATATTTTGCTTTATTATAATAGAAGATATATATATATATATATATATATATATATATATATATATATATGTATGTATGTATATATAGGCTAATATGTCAATATAATAAAGAGCAATCATTATAATTATAATTTCTATAACAATTAATAATTAATAATAATAATAATAATTTTTTGAATATTTTATATTCATTAGTAAAAAAAATTTCTTACATACCCCAAATGTTTAATGAAAATCTTTTTTTACATATCCTAAATGTTATGTAGATTGACTGTGTAAACTGAAGTGTTTTATTCCTAAAAATCGATGGAAAACAAGTTGTACATAGGAGCCTATATATAGAGGCTAATTGCAGGATTCAGTCACTCATTTGAATTTCAAAATGAGTAGCTGAGAGTCATTTGCTAACAACCTTCTAACATGTTACAACTTAGCTTGTCATTCCAAGCATTGCAATTAAACCATAACCAAAATTTAACCTTAACCTCTTTTTAAAAAAAAATAAATCTTAACTTCCTATATGAGAATATCAGAAACTGCAAGGATACTCAAATTAACAAGTATACATCACTTAAATGTATATAGAAGGTATGGAATCAAGACACAAAATCAATTGAACACAAGTACAATAAGATTCTTAGCCAATAATAACTATTTTCACTTTTGTAGAGGCATAAGAAAAATGTATAAGCTCCTCCATGTATTTTTCAAAGTCCTCATCATTGTAGCACATTGGTGACCGAGTGATGACAACCTCCTCAAGTGCTGGAAAGCAAGCAAGTAGCTGCTTGATGAAAACAATACAATCCTCAAATGCTACAAATTCAATCAGCTTCAAATACTGTAGCATTTTAAGACTTTGAGCTACAGTACAAAATTCGTCGCTGTTTGGAAAAACATCAAAAATCTTCATAAAAGCAAAAAAAAAAAAAAAAAAAAAAAAAAAGTTAAAACATTTACACAACAAAATTGCATAAAGGAATGCAAAATAACAATAACAACAACAACAAAAACAGTAATAACAATAATAATTAAAACAACTAGAATCTAGAAAATTACCGATAAATTTAAATCAAGTTAACATAATTTTGGGTATATTCGAAGCAAATGAATGAATTTTGAAGAAACGTCACTGGTCAAATAAGTGCTTTCTGATACTTCCAACATGTCCCCTTCTAGTACAAGTGGTTGTGGTTGCAGTCCCCTTCTAGTACATCCTTTAACAAAATCCTTTGAAACCAAATAGAAATGAAGTTAGATTAGTTCCTAACAAATACAATTAAACAAAATAGAGGCTGGCTAAGATACTGACATACCGTGAGAGAATAATTATCCAAATCAAGAGTACAAACAGAACTCAAATCCAAGCTAATAGGGAGTTGGAAAATATGGCAATCGTTGATTGTTAAACTATCAAGTTTTTGAGCAGTAATGTTCACATTGGACATGTTATCACATCTCATAAATGAGAGATTCTTCAGCATAGAAAAATCAACAGGAACCGAAGATCAACACCTTCAAAGTCAACATAATCAAAACAAAGTGATGTGAAATTTGGTAATGTGCAATGGCCATTTATTGATTCAACAGAGATTCCATTATTAAGATGCAATCTCCTTAATGTTAGGCAAGAGAATATGCAATTCGGAAGACTGTATTCATCTCCATCCATAAGACTAAGGTAAATTTCTTCAACACCTTTTCGTGTGACAAAAAATAACCACTCGTCCAAGTAAAATGACCGAGGCCTAAGTGTATTCCTACTATAATAGGCATCGTGAAAATCAATGACAAATTTGCGGATAAGACCATTGTGCTGGTTGAGGACTTTGTTGATTACATACATAGCCGCATACACTTTCTTCCCATAATCCAGATAACTTTAATATATACAAATTAATGAATAAATAAATTAAAATTGAAACAAAACTTTAGGACGGGTGAAATCGACAATAGTAAATTAGTAATTATAAATTGCAAGCCTCAGTTCTATGCAAGGAAGATACTAATTTTGAAAGATGTAAAATTAAAGGGACTTATCCTAACCCACTGAAGCCATTATGAGCTTTATGCTATAGAAAGCATGAAGCATGATTAAAGTAGATTAGTACACCCAAACATTTCAAAAATCAATACCAAAAGCCAATATTGTACGGTGAAACTCGGCCAGTTAATCGAAAAGAAGGAACAAATCAACATAGAAACCATTGGTTTTTCAAGGTGGCTAGTACATTAAAGATGGTGAATCTGCAATAAATAAATGCATTTTTTTTTTTTACAATAACACCGATAGTGATTTTTGTTATATTTTTTGGTTTCAACCAGTTTAATTGGTTTTTAAGATTTTACTAAAACCAGTTGAAAAATATTATTACTAAAAAAACAGAGGTTACATAAAGTTATAAACCAATTAAACCGGTTGAAATATGAAAAATAGTAAAAGAAAAATATGAAGAGACAAAAATGCAATTACTAAAAATAAAAAAAAAGTGATGAGAATGACTAAAAGTGTCCAAAAAAATAATAGTCTAGGGATGTTAAATGACAAAAATAATAGTCTAGGACGAAATTTTGAATTGCCACCAAAGACAAAGGGACCTCCGGTGGAATTAACTGTATATATAAATAATAAGCATTAATAAAAATCATTGAAAATTGGTAATAGTTATAGTTTTATTCTGGGATCAATGACTAGAATATGCTATCAACAACCCAAAATTCCCAATATGTGTCGTATTTTTTTTTGACAACAATATGCAAAACTCCTTTGGGAGTTGAGTTTTTGGTGTATATATATTTTTTTTCATGTATTTCTGTAAAACGCAAGAGGTAGTTGCATTTACGTATTCGTATACGTAAAACGCATTATGCTCTTGCGTTTTTGAACGCATATGGTATCCCCCAAAACGCAACTTACTTTTGCGTTTTACGTATTAAACTAAGTTGCGTTTTTGACATTTTTTTGTACCGGCCGTCTCCGGCGAATTTGAAGGACGGCGAGAACCACAAAACGCATGTTGCATATGAGTTTTTGGTTCGAATAGGCAAAACGCAAATTGTAAATGCGTTTTTTATATGTTTAAAATTTTCCGGCCACTTTCGAGATGATGGTGAAAGACCAAAAGATTCCGAGAAGGAACACCGGACCGGACCTAATGTATCTGTGGAATACGAGGTGCATGTGGTTGATAAGAAAATGGTTGGCGAGGCAGGGACATCAGCTGCTCGCCCCAAGGCTCGCGGTGGTTTCAAGGGTGACTCTGATGTTGTTAGGGAGATTCAGGTTCAATTTGATCAAGCTTCAGAAGCTGGTGCTGAGCTTGCTAAGTTGCTTGAGGTTGGAAAGCTTCCCTATAACCGTAAACATGCCACATCTCAAGGTAAAAAGAACCATCTTTTCTCTTCAATTGGTGTCAAGTGCTAATCTTACTTTAATGCCAACTTTTTACCAGTGATGAGTTCCCAGGCATTATGCAATTTTGTTTGTTCTAACATTGATCCAAAAAAGAGAACTTGAAGTGATATTTTATGCTTGAGGTTATATTGATTGCCTTTAATAGTTGTTTCACTGGCCTTTTTTTTTTTTTCTGATAGTTTCTTCAAAGATGTTTCGCACAATTATGCCTTCCTCCTCTTTGGAATCATCACAACCTTCTACATCAAATGCCACTCAGACTGAGATGGCCAATCGTGCTATATTAGATGCAGAAGGAGATGTCAGTTTCTTAAAGTCCAAAAACCTTTCTTCTACATTACAGAAGCTGTACCTTTGGGAGAAAAAGCTGTATGAAGAGGTTAAGGTATTTTTTTTTTCTTTCTTGAGTCTGTGATTCATTCCATTTCCAGTCCTTTTTGCTTTACCTGTTATAGCAACCATCTTATGGAGATTGCCTTTTTGGGTGTTTGAATGATGAATGTTCTGTATGTTGTTCAGTAGATCTTTTAGATGCTTCTTACCATGTCATGCTTTCCATATGTAAATGTAAATGCCACTTACATCCTTCCAGTTTACCATTTTGACTAGTTTTAATGTTTTATTCAAAAAACGCAATTCTTTCTTGTATTTTTGTAAAATTCTCCTGCGAAATACACCGATAAACACACGCATTTTGGTCTTGCGTTTTACATATTTAAAAGTATAATACGTAAAACGCATCTCCCAACTGCGTTTTAACGTATTCAATACGTAAGATGAAAACGCATTTGGGAGATGCGTTTTTCGTATACAATACGAAAAACGCAACTACTAGTTGCGTTTTAAGTATTTAACGAAAAAAAAATACGGATGAAATACCTTCAAAAACGCAACTGGTAATAGAGTTTTGCATATTTTTGTCAAAAAAAAAATCAGCACACATTTTGGCAATTTCTCACCCCATTCTACACATTCTAGTCATTGATCCTTTATTCTGTATCAACTCGGAATAAGAAAGCTTCAAGAAAGTTCTGCAGAACACCGATCCAAGTGGTCATGGAACCGCTGTACTCGGCGGAGAGATCAACTCGGACAATTTGGAACGCAGCACTAAGAAGACGAAGCATGGCGATTTGCCACCTCCGGCGAAACAGCCATCTCCAATAGCAGACATTGTGCTTGAAACACCAATGGACAACGATGCTGGGTTTCTGACTCCTCAATCCGGTGCATCAACACCGGCTACCTTCGGACGAACGCCACGGGATTCAAACATTCCAATGACGGAAGACGTGGATTCTAACAAAGACATAGCCTCAGACGATGACACAATGGGGGAAGACACGGAAGATGAAGACTGCCCGATGATACTAGTCACTAAGGCAAAGGAGGAGAAAAAAAAAGGCTATAGAAAATAATTAAAAATCTATAGATGTATAAAATAAACATCTTATACTATTCAATATACATATCTCTAGGGCTAATATGTCAATTTAATGAAGAACAATAATTATAATTATAATTACTATAGCTATTTAATAATTAATAATAATAATAATAATAATAATAATAATAATAATTTTTTGAATATTATATATTCATGGATGAAAATCGTTTCCTACGTACCCCAAATGAGACAACTTAGCTTGTCATTTCAAGACTTTCAAAAAAAAAAAAGCTTGTCATTTCAAGTATTGCAATTAAATGTAATGACAATAACCAAAATTTAATTGGATTAATCTTATCCAGCTATATGAGAATATATTAGTATAACTTGCAAGAAAACTCAATTCAATATCAGTACAATAATATCCTTAGCCAATAATAAATATTTTAGCTTTTGTGGAGGCACAAGAAAAATGCAAAAGCTCCTCTTCGTAATTTTCAAAGTCCTCATAATCGTCAGAGTCCTCATCGTAATCGCACACTTCTGAACGTGTAATAACAACCTTCTCAAGTGCAGGAAAGAAAGCAAGTAGCCCCTTGATGAAAACAATATCCTCCTCGTGCGCCAAAAAATCTATCAGATTCAAATTGTGAAGCTTTTCAAGTCCTTGAGCTACAGTATGAAATTCCTCGGAAAGTGTTCCCAAAACATCAATTAACTTCATAGAAGAAAAAAAAAACATTTAGACAACAAAATTGTATTAAGGAATGCAATAACAATAACAATAATAATAGCAATAGCAATAGTAATGGAAACAACTAAAACCAACTAAAGAATTAATACAGGGAAATTACCAATAAACTTATATCAAGTTGGCATAATTTTGGGCACATTCTAAGCAAATGAATGAATACAGAAGAAATGTCATCCCTTAAAAAAGTGTGCTCTGATACTCTCAAGCATTCCACATTTAGTGCAAGTGGTTGTGGTTGTACTCCCCTTCTATTACATCGTTTAACAAATTCCTTTAAAACCAAATAGAATCAAGTTAGATCAGTTCCTAAGTCCTAACAAATACTTTAAATAAATAATGATCCAAACAAAAAAAGTCTGGCTAAGATACCTTGAGAGCATAATTATCCAAATCAAGAGTACGGATAGACCTCAAGTCTGAGTTAATAGAGAGTTGGAAAGCACGGCACTCATTGATTGTTAAACTTTTGAGTTTTTGAGCAGTAATGTTCAAATTGGACAGGTTATCACAATTTATATATGAGAGATTCTCGAGCATAGGAAAATCAACTGGAACTAGAAGATCAACACCATCAAAATCAACATTCTCAAAACAAAGTGAAATGACATTTGGTAATGTCCAGTGGGCATTTATTGATTCAACAGAGACTCCATTAAGATGCAATCCCCTTAGTGTTGGGCAAGAAAATATGCAATTTGGCATCATGTATCTATATTCATTCATAAGAGTAAGATCGATTTCTTCAACACCTTTTCGTGTGACAAAAAGGAACCACTGGTCCAAGTCAAACGATCGGGACCTAAGCATTTTCCTACTATGATAGGCATCGTGAAAGTCTGACAAATTTGCGGATAAGACCATTGTGCTGGTTGAGGACTTTGTTGATTACATACATAGCCGCAGATATCCAAATATCATTGTTTTTCTTTTGTTGCTCTTGTGTGGTTTGGGTCCTGATATCGATGAGAGCATGGGAATATTTTATGGTAATGTGGAAAAGAAACATAGAGTCAAAGTTGAGCTGTGTAAGTTTGAACCACATATCTCTCCAAAAGGTAGACAAAACAACCATTCTAGCAGCTTGTTTAATCGGTAAGAACCCCAACATCTTGTCAACTATATCTACAGGGAGTTCACTGATTCTATCCCTCCGCTGTAGCCTCCGCTGACATTTTCTCCCCATAATCCAGATAACTTTAATATATGCAAATTAAAGAATAAATAAATTAAAATTGAAACATAACCTTAAGATGGGTGAAATCGAAAAATAATAAATTAGTAATTATAAGTTGCAAGTAGACAGAAAGATACTAATTTTGAATGATGCAAGATGCAAAATTTAATGCTAACCCACTGAAGTCATTTTGAGCTTTATGCTATAGAAAGCATGAAGCATGATTAAGGTAATAGGATTAGTTCACCCAAACATTTCAAAAATCAAGACAAACTTCTTAAGATGCATCAATACCTAGGGGTGTTCAATCGGTTAACCGAAAATTTTAAACCGTTAACCGAATCGAAGTTTGTGTTACCGAATTAATCGAACCAAAATTTGTTTCGGTTACTCGGTCGATTAACCGAACTTTTTTAAGCTAAAATTTAAAATCTTAAAAATAACAACTAAAATAATAAATTCAATTAAAATAATACATATCATAATAAATTCATAACAAAATATACAAAAAAAAAATCGTAACAAAACTATAAACATATCAAATTACAGATTAAATTTAAATATTTAATACATTATATATATATATATATATATATATATATATATTAAAAATTTCGATTAACCGACACTTTCAAACCATTAACCAAACCAAAAAAGTTCGGTTAAAAAACGGTTAACCGAACTTTGTCGGTTGGGTCGGTTAACCGAAAATTATCGCTTGCACACCCCTATCAATACCACAAAAACAATACTCTACAGTGAAACTCTGCCAGCTAATCGAAAAGAAGGAACATATCAACACAGAAACCACTCGTTTCTCAAAGAGGCTAGTACAGGAAAAAGTGTACATTTTTAGACAACAAGTTGAACTTGGATTAATTCTAACAAAACTGCAGGGAAGAAAAACAGTAAACGATACTTCAACACTTCATTTAGTTTCAATCGCCCTATGAACACTTATAATATAAGTTGATGAAAGAGTTGGGTAAATCACAGTATGAAGCTAGTTTCAGCGAGAGAAATGAAAGCCGGAAAAATGTATACGTACATACAAACACGCTGGCGCACAGTAGATTGGATTTAAGAGAAAGCAGTAATTGAAAAGGCGAAACAGAGAAGTGTTGGGAGAGGTTTGCAGCGCTGGGTGCATTTGTTGATGAGGAGAATTTGTTGCGTGGGATACGGAATCAGGAAATCCTCAATTTGGATAGCATAAAAAGGAATGTCACTCTTTTGGCATAGGCATTATACGTTTTATTTTAATTAATGCGCAGTAAATACGGTAGGTGAACCGTCCACCTACAGACGTATACAGGTATACTCCCTTCAGTTCTCTCCCATTTGCATGTATTCTATGATGCATTAGGAAAATGTTATATGTACTCCCATTTTGTACATGATTTTTATTCATGATATTTTTGGTAATAATTCATGAATATGTATTGTTTATGGTAATAATCCATGATTTTTATTCATGATATTTTTTGTAATAATTCATGAACACGTATTGTTTATGGTTTTTGTTTTATATATATTGCGAGACATGTACAATTATTATTTATGTTTGTAGTTTGATTTTTCCACAGGAGATTGATGTTTATTAGAATTGTTCTTTAAATTGGAGTATATATGCATATATTTGTTTACTGGAATGTTCTATAGAACTTCTATCCTCTAAAAATTATTTAATTATTTTGGTAAAAACAATAAAAGTAAATAATTCAACTTCTATAATAATAATTAGTAATTTTGTTTTAAAGCCCAAAGGCATATATTAATGAATGAGAGAAGCTAAACAGTCAGGAGGGACATAGTCCCAGTACATAGAGTGTTCCTGATCAAAATGGCAAATTATGCTCGGGAAACGTGTTCACCATGAATGGTGAACACGGGTCCAAACGGCGCCGTTTTTACGTAAAAAAAAAAATTCGCGAATGTGGTGTTAACGGCGCGCGTTTGGTCAAATTATGAATGTACTGTAAATTCATAATCTCATAACAGAAAATTCATAATCTCATAACAGAAAATTCATAATCTCAAAACAGAAAATTCATAATCTCATAACAGAAAATTCATAATCTCATTAAAATCGGATACTCTAATTTTTTAAAATAGGATACTCTAATTTTAAAATCGGATACTCTAATTTTTTTTTTATTTCAGTAAACAATAAATTAATTTATATAATAAAACGTTAACTTAAAAATACTGGAATGTATTACCTGCTTCATCATTAAATAACAATAATTGTAGATTAACATGTATTGAAAATATATAAGAATGCTACATTATATACCTTAAAATGATGCAATTTCATTTAATTGGTATTAATACCTTAAAATGATGCAATTTCATTTAGGCAGGAAACTGATGTGGCAAAAAACATTTTGCTATTATATAGAGTAAGATAAGATAAGATTTTTTGAAAGTTGTTATTATTAGTAGTATTATTATAAATTTTATTTTATTATTGCATAATAATAATAATATTATTAATGTCATTATATGTCTTTTTACATTTAACTGCTAATAGTAAAAAGTAATTTTTACCAAACATCTTTTTGCAAATCCCTGATGCAATCCGCTATTTGTTAACCGCTAACCGCTAGCCGAGGATTACCAAACAAAGCAGAGGTGTATAAATAGGAAAACGAATCCATCTTTACGCAAATAAATTAAGTAATTCATAATTACGCAAATAAATTGAAAAAAAAATATCTTCAAAAATTACTATTACGTAAAATTAGTATTCTACATGTGTAGAATTCAAATTATTATTATTATTGTTATTATTATTATTATCATTTGTGTAAATAATAATTAATAAATTATTATTTCCTTATAAAATTACACAGAATTTTCAATGAATTTTTTCATTTATTACGCAGCATTTGTTTCCATTATTCTCACAATTATAATTGTTTAATTATTCTTAGAATTTGGTAACCATTTTCAATTTTTAAGTATATATTCACTTTAATTTGTGGTAACAATTCATATTAATTAATTTCCATATAAAATTTTGTTACCAATTAAGCTTTATTAATTTTTTTCCAATTAATTAATATTCATATTATTTTGAACGGAAAAGTTGAAGATGATGATTTTACTATTATTATTATTATTATTATTATTATTATTATTATTAAGATATTAAGATTAGTAATTTTAATCTAGAATTGTATTAGAAATAAGAAAGTATGAAAGAATATATTATATTAGGAATTGTATTACCATATTTTCACGGCGGGAAATGAAGGCATTTCTGACCACCTAAAAGTGATCATAAATCAAGTCGTAAGCCTTTGTTCTGACCATTTTTGGTATCCAGAAAAACCTTTGTTGCTATTTCCGACCACCGGAGAGGTGGTCGAAAATAGCATCCAATTTTGTAAAATGGTCGGAAAAATCAATTACTAGAAAGATCAGCGGAAATTCCCAACTCAGTTAAATTTTTTGAACTGTCGAATTTTGTTTCAACCACCTCTACTTTGTGGTCAGAAATTCCAACCTATTTCCCCACCATCATCTTTCAATGAAAAATTGAAAAAATATCACTTTTCGACCATTTTTTTAAGTGATCGGAGAAGTGTTCGGAAAATCAAAGATTAGCAGCAGTGTTTAATGTACAATTGTAGTACGAATAGGAATTGTATTACCATATTTTTACAGCATTGTGCAAAATAGTATATGAGTCTTTTGGGCTCGAAGTTAAATTGAGAATTTTGTTTTTATATATAATATAGATATAGATTATCTATACTTTATTGAAAGTCAATGACCTTATAATTTAGTGGTATGAAGTAATTCTTTCAAATGGAAGGTCATGAGTTTAATACCTAGTGGAGTAGGTATTGAGTCACACTTCATGCTTCATAGTACTAAAAAAAACTTGGTGGCTATTTTATTGAAATTTTAAAATAGTTTTAAATATTCTTAATTATGTTTATTTTATCTTTTTCAGACAAACTTTTAATATTTACAACTCTTTTAATTTTTCATACATGGACTATTTATAGTAAGTCAGTAGTACTCAAAAAAACTTGGTGGCTATTTTATTGAAATTTTAAATTAGCTTTAAATATTCTTAATAACTATGTTTATTTTATCTTTTCCGGACAAACTTTTAATATTTGCAACTCTTTAAAATTTTCATATATGGACTATATATAGTATTGAGAGATTAAGTACATTTTTCCAATTATATATTTGATAATGTAAGCTATTGAATTAATGTTGACTATGATTGACAAAGGATTTTGTTGAAATTGTCTTATTTTTAGAAAATAATAAAATATTGAAAAGACTAAAATAATCTTGTTTAGAGTCTAAACTATGTTTTTCCAGAAAGATCAAAAGTATTTAATATAGAGCAAATATCAAATTTTAGTCCTACGAGTATTAACAAATTAAAATGACAGTTTTGTACTACATGTTTAATTCCTATCAATTTTCATCCACAACTACCATTTTAGTACCAATTTCATCCACAATTATTGTTCTAGTGCCAAAATTCATCACGTCGGTCACCCCTTCGTTTAAGACATGCCGAAATATGAAATTATTATGGGTATTTTCGTCATTTTCAAATTAAGATCTCAGTTTGAACATGAATAAAGGGACTTAAGTCTTAAGATCTATCTAAATTCGCATTTTCCTCCTCAAATTAAGGTAGGATGAGGGGAGAACTACGAATTGGGATCGATCTTAGGGCTTAAATCCCTTTATTCATGCTCAAATTGAAATCTTAAGATAAAAAGGACGAAAATGCCCTTAAAATTTAGATTTTGGCATGTCTTAAATAGAGAAGTGACCGGCGTGATGAATTTTGATACTAAAATGATTGTTGTGAATGAAAATTGGTACTAAAACAATAATAGTAGATAAAAATTGGTAGGAATTAAACATGTGGATCAAAACCGTCATTTTGCTAATATTAGTGGGAGCAAAATTGATATTTGCTCATTTAAAATATGATAGTTTGACAAAAGAATTAATTCCATTTTAGGTCATAGATTTATAGGTTATAGTCCCCTTTTAGTTCTTTTTATTTTTATTTTTATTTTTATTTTTTATGAATATATTCATTTTTGGTCCTAGTATTATTATGACATGACGAATTTTGGCCCTCTATCAAAAAATTAGTTGAAATTTTGTTAAATACAAGGGCATTTTTCTCTTCAATTATGAATATTTTCAACAAAAAAAATTAACATAAAAAATATAGCAGGTCAACGCACTTTATATTAAAAATATCAAAATATCATTCAATTTAACGAAATTTTAACGACTTTATTGATAGAGGACCAAAATTGATCTTGTTACAATAATACTAAGATCAAAAGTGAATGTTTGAATAAAGAAAAAAAAAAACTAAAAGTGAACTGCCAACTATAAATTTAGAACAAAAAATAGAATTAACTCTTTAACTAAAACTATAGTCTATATTTAAATTTGAAATTATCACCCGATACAAAGCTCTCTCTATCTCTAGTCTCCACGGCTAATCATCAAGAGGATTAGCATTCCGATTCCCTTTGGCTTTCCTAAATTGCAATTCCGCGAAGTCCCAAACATCATATGTGAGGGTTTCTCATCTGTCACTTTTTCTCCCAAACTCTGTTTTCTTCCCAACCCGTTTCCTAATTTCATTTTATTTACGAAATCTTGCGGTTGAAGAATAAAATAGAATGATTTTAGCTTTTTATTTCGACTGAAGCCGCCTCATTGTTCTTTCAATTTAATGGCTCGACGTCGGCGACTCAAAACCCTACCGGATGCAAGTAGGGATTTAATAAGTGAGCTGCCGGTAAAGGTAAATGACAGAATTTTGAGTGTTTGCCCACCCGAGACGCCGCCAGAATGGCTCTGCTCTCAACCTACTGGAATGATGCTTGGTTGCAGCATGGGCGGCTTGCGTTCGATTCGGACTTCTTGTATGATGTCGAACACCGGCTAGATGATGACAGTAGAACCCTCGTGAACATAATCAATAATGAAAATTTGTAAAGCGCAGCACACAATGATGTTGAAACTGACGTTGTAACACAAACGATCTGTAACACAGTTCGGGCAAACAACCCTAATCTGCAAGGCACTTCTCAATTTGAGAACTTGCCTAAATCCACTAAAAGCTCAATATTTAAAGTACACTGTTTGAAACCTGAGATTACACAATAGAATGATCTTTCCTACCAAACTATTGAAACCTAAACACATGTACTACTTTCTAGGGGAATTTAGTATCCTATTCTCAAAGACTCTCGTACCTCACAAGATTAATGTTTAATGCTTAGATTCTACAATAAAGGACAACCCCTATTTATAGTAGCTAATCCTAACAGATTCGTGAATAACAAAGCTATTCCTAATCAAACTAGAACTAGAAAATCTTCAACAACAAATCCTTTTAGAACTAGTATTCTTCAATAACTATTCCTCGTAGGACTGGTATTCCTTTATAGAACTGTAATTCTTTTTGCACATAACTTTGACAAAACACTTTGAGTCAACATTCTCCCCCTTTGTCAGATTTTTGGCAAAAACCTTGATCTCTGTCTTTCTCCCCCTTAGTTGATGCCACAGTGGTGTTTGATTGATGGTAGATTAATAACAGGTTAGATCGCCATCCCATGTGTAGCTCTTATCAGATGATCTTTTCCCCATCATAACACATTCATGTTTTTGGTTGTAGATTTTACAATTCTCTTTGGAAAATTCTACTTTGAGTTCATCATCACACAGTTGGCTTATACTGATAAGGTTTGCTTTGAGTCCTTGTACCAAAAAGACTCTTGATAATCTGGGCAGTCCATGGACATTCAAAGTACCGCTTGCGATAATCTGTCCTTTTCCTTCATCTCCAAAAGTGACATGCCCTTCATTTTTGTACTGGATGTTCTCAAGATAATGTGGATTTCCTATCATATGTCTTGAACATCCGCTGTCAAAATACCAAACACTTTGTTCTTGGCTTGTTTTTTAGGTATACGCCACAGCTTGTGTTTCTTGTTTTCTTACCCAGATTTTCTTATTCTGATTTCGAGCCTGTCCAGTCCAGCTCCTGTTGTTATGTCTGTATTGGAGATCATACTGTCTTTTAAAACAATATGCTTTGATGTGCCCGAGTCTGTGACAGTAGTAGCATCTGATTCTTCTTCGATGTTGGAAGTGATGTTGTGACACCTCAAAATTTTCAGTTTGCTGGTTTTCACTGAAGGCTGAGATTGGAGTCCTAGGCCTTTCAGTTAGAGCCTTGATTTCTTGTAGCAGTTTTGCCTCTCTGTTTTTGGAGTCTAATAATTCATTTTGAGCTTCTTTGAACCGTTTTTCTCCTCTATCTTTTTCATCTTTTAGAAACTGATTTTCTTCCATGAGTTCTAGATTTACTTCGATGATTTGTTCCCATTTGGCATGTAGTTGAGTATATGCCTCTAGTAATTCTTGTATATCTTCTCCGTTGTTATTTTCATGATTTGCGGTGAATGCTACGAAATTGGTGTTGGTGTCTTCTTCACTGTCTGAGTCATCACTTAATGTTGTCATGTATGTCTTGTTCTTTCTTTTAAGGTATGTAGCACATTCTGACTAGATGTGTCCAAACCCTTTGCACTCATAACACTGTATTCCTTTTGTATTTGAACTGTCTCTTCTTTTTGAAATAGATTGATTTCGTCCAGTTGGGAAGTCCCCTTGATTGATTGAAGCACTTTTGTTTCTAAATTTGTTGAATTTTTTGAGAACTCTGTTAAAATTCTTTGTTAGGAGAGCAATTGATTGTTCCATGGTTTCAGTATCAATCTCTGGACTTTCTTTCTGCTTTGATTGGAACGTAATTCCTTTGTCATTACTTTTCCCTTTTGCAGTATCTCAAGCTCATATGTTTGAAGATTTCCCATTAGATCACTGAGTTTGTAGGTGTTTAGATCTTTGTTTTCTTGGATGGCTGTAACCTTTATCATAAATCTCTCAGGTAGGGAATGTAAGACCTTTTTGACGAGCCTAGGTTCAGGAATAGGTTCGCCTAGGTTAAACGCATCTCCAGAGATGCTTAAAACTCTGGCACTAAATTGTGTGATATTTTCTTCTTCTTCCATTTTCAAGTTTTCAAACTCTGTCTGTATCATCTGTAATTTGGATTGTCTTACAGACGTGTTCCCTTCATGATGATCACATAATATACTCCACGCAGTTTTGGCTATGCGAGTGGTGGCAATCAGTTTGAAGGTATCTTCGCTCACAGCTCCATAGATTGCATTCATTGCCTTCGAGTTGAAGTTATATTCTATTTTTTCTTCTTCACTCTAGTCAATTTTAGGTTTTCTATTTCCTTTATCATCAACTGGAGTTTTCCATTCGTTTTCCATAGCATTGCAGACACCTTCTCCTCGTGCCAAGATGTATATCTGCATTCTGGCTTTCCAGTAGGAAAAATTCGTGCCAATGAGAGCAGGTGGCCTAGTGCTTGACAGTCCTTCTCTGGGAAACTCCATTAGGATCCTGCCAATAACTTAAGCAGTTTGGCTCTGATACCAATTGAAAATTTGTAAAGCGCAACACACAGTGATGTTGAAACTGACGTTGTAACACAAACGATCTGTAACGCAGTTCGGGCAAACAACCCTAATCTGCGAGGCACTTCTCAATTTAAGAACTTGCCTAAATCCAATAAAAGCTCAATATTTAAAGTACACTGTTTGAAACCTGAGATTACACAATAGAATGATCTTTCCTACCAAACTATTGAAACCTAAACACATGTACTACTTTCTAGGGGAATTTAGTATCCTATTCTCAAAGACTCTCGTACCTCACAAGATTAATGTTGAATGCTTAGATTCTACAATAAAGGACAACCCCTATTTATAGTAGCTAATCCTAACAGATTCGTGAATAACAAAGCTATTCCGAATCAAACTAGAACTAGAAAATCTTCAACAACAAATCATTTTAGAACTAGTATTCTTCAATAACTATTCCTCGTATGTAGGACTGGTATTCCTTTATAGAACTGTAATTCTTTTTGCACATAACTTTTACAAAACACTTTGAGTCAACAAATAAAATCCTCTTTTTCCGTCCTGGGCCTGTTAAGAAATTTACTCTAGACATAGACACTGCATATGCTCCATCGCCGTATCAATCTGATTATGATATGTGGTGTCTTTTTCTGTCAAGAAATGGTGTGGAGGAACTTAACATATCTTTATATAGTTATCAAAAGCCAGATTATCAGCTGCCATTTTGTTTACTCTCTTGCAGGACAATTAAGAAACTGATAGTCGGAGGTCTCTTTTTTGATTTGCCTGTAAATGCTTGTGGTATATTTTCTAATGTCACTTCATTAGCTTTCTTCAATGTTACATTTAAGCGCATTGTTTATGGAATTGCCTCTAGTATTAGTACTCCTAAGCTTGAGAAGCTGGCTTTCGAGGATTGTGGAGGGATCAATAAGTTTGAGATCAGCCCTCCAAAGCTTGAAATCTTGTCTGTTATTGGTTCTATATATGATCTATATGATTTTGGTGATTCGAGATGGTTGGCACTACATTTGAAAGCCATTAAGACTCTTTGGTTGTGTGGCTCTTCGTTGGAGGTGAGAATATAACTCATTTTACTTGGCAAATGGATGGATAGATACAATTCTTTATCTTCTGGTGGTTAATTTTGTTTCTTAATTCCTATTTTTCAAGTGTATGCGTGTATCTATGTTTTCAACTGCAATAAATCTGCGAGTGCTGAAGCTATATGGATTACATTTTGGTTATTGGGATCAGCCTCTCGTTTTTATGCAATTGCTTCAAAAATGCCCCAACCTATGTGAACTGCATATTATTGCGGATGAGGTAGAGTATATATTTGGTAATCATGTATGATTCTTCTTGTTTTGCTTTTTCAAATGTCCTCACAATTGTGTTTGCTTTTCATATTGCTGATGCTGCTTCAAGGCATTTGAAGGGTCGAAACGGTTTCTTATTTATTCAAGAGCTGCAGATGCTTAACACAGTTAAGATTGAAGAATTCAGTGATCAATCCGCACTGCAAATGCTTTTTATGAAAACACTGCTCTTAAAATCCCCTGCGTTAGAGAGAGTTGTTATTGTGAAGTCTTGTGGTATAAATGCCTCTGAGGTGAGAAAAATCCAAAGGAAGTTGCAATGCTTCCCTCGTGCATCTCCAAAGGCACAAATTGTCTGCGCTGGCAACTACTATGCGGGTATGAATGAGGACGGGATGGATACCCATGGTGTTAGGCTTTTAGAAACTTAGTATGGTGAATCTCCATGGGTTCTATTTGGGTGCAGCTTAGGAATGTAAGCAAATGTTGTGTTGGAAGTTGAAATGTTTTCTAAGTTGTTCAGCATGGTCGAGATATTTGTAATCAGCAAGCATTGTGGGCAATTAAGAATAATGTTCCTATATATATTTGCTTTTGTTAATAAATGCTTGTCTTGAAGGCCGGGCTTGAATTTCAGCCTACATTGCATGTTTCCAACACTATAATTTGAGTGCCTCATTATATGTCTTAGGTTCAGAATTAGAGGAGATGGCAGCGATGAATACTCTGTGGCGGTAAAGAGTGTGAAGAAGACCTGCCATGTATCATAGAATCACAATAATAATCTTGTAATCTAACAGGAATATACCTTTGTCCTGTAGATCTTCTAGGCTGAATATTATGAAATTCATTTTGAGTTTCATCTGGCAAACCACTCTTTGTTGCTGAATTTTGAGTTGCAGGCAACGAGATGTCTTGACCAAGTGAAGGTGCTGATAATGGAACACCTAAAGTGGAATGACCATCAGTAGCTATATCATGTTAGCATCATTTGTCTTGAAGGTAAACACTTGTTCATAAAAATGTGCAGATAATGGGTGTTTGACACATTAAGTTGCATGTAAAACACAATATCTGCAAGGGGGAGATCAGAGCTGCTTGGAATCTCAAAGCTCTAGCTACATTTAACACATGTTGATGCTTTAATTTCTTTATGCAATTGCATTCTGCTGTGGGGTGTTTGACACATGATTTTGTATGTAAAATATATGCCTTTTTCTGCATAAAACTCACTCATATTAATCTCAATACCATTATCACTTCTTATTATTGATTGTCTCTCACAAGAGTGTGAAAACGTTGAAGTAACCACACTGAGGTTCCCAATAGCAATAAATCAACAAGTAATCAAGGTTGGTATAATGTTGTGGCTGCTTTGTGTTACTTGCAAGCAAAATTTACGAACTTATTCTGAGTTAGTTATGCTCCAACGACGTGATAGCTTATTTATAATTCAAAGGAAAATTTGTCAAAATAATATTGGAGTGAATAGTACATGCAATTGTGGTTTAAACTTTTTTTTAAGGCTCCATTGAGGCATTCTAAATTGACGAAAAATGCAATTAGTGAATAGTACAAAAATTCATTTTACTATTAATATAATAGAGGAACATTTGTTTCAAATATCATAATCAAAATTTAAATTTATTCATAACTTTAATTTATTCCTGGTTGCCCAATGAACGCTCCTCCTATTTTCCCACATGTCACTATAATAAATGCTCCTTCTATTTCTACTCCCGAATAAAGATTTTTAAAAATTAATTAGAATTGAATTTCTTTCCTGGCTCAACTCACTCACCTATTATTTTTACGTTCAATCAAATCTATTGTTTTGCTTTTTCAAATGTCCTCACTGTTGTGCTTGTCTTTCATTTCTTCTTGAGTTATAGTTCGGTCTGAAGGATGACAAAGATGCTGCTTCAATGCTTTTGGAGGATCCAAATAGTTGCTTTGTTAGTCATGAGCTGAAGATGCTTAACACAATCAAGATTGAATCGAACTGTGCATCCGCACTCCAAATGCTTTTTATAATAATGTTGCTCTCAAAATCTCCTGCGCTAGAGAGATTTATTGTGAAGTTTTGGGGTATGAATGCCCCCGAGGTGAGAAAAATCCAAAGGAAGTTGGAATGCTTTCCGCATGCATCTTCAAACGCACATATTGTCTTCACGGACAATGACAATGATTCTATGGGTATGGAGTACTGGTAACATTGGTTTAGCCTTTCACAAATTTGGTCTACATGGGTTGAATCTTTAGAAATGTAAGCAATGGTTGTGTTGTGTGAGCATATAGCCATTAACGTGCAATCCAACCATCAGCTTAGACTTTTAGCTGAGATGGAGCACATGTTTCAATTTGGTATCAGAGCCAGACCAAAGGTCATGGGTTCAAATTTCAGCGTCACTCATAAGCGACTACGGTTTACCGGTCCACGTGTTGCTTGGAACCCACCGCTAGCGTGCAATCCAACCCTCAGCTTAGGCTTTTAGTTAAGATGGAGCACATGCTTCAATTTGTTGGAAGTTAAATGTTTTCTAAGTTCTTTTAGTTAAGATGGAGCACATGCTTCAATTTGTTGGAAGTTAAATGTTTTCTAAGTTCTTTTAGTTAAGATGGAGCACATGCTTCAATTTGTTGGAAGTTAAATGTTTTCTAAGTTGTTCAGCATGATCGAGGTATTTGTAATTAGCAAGCATTGTGGGCAATAATGTTCCTCTATTTGCTTTTGTTATTCAGCAAGCATTGTGGAAATTTTTGACTGGACCTTAAACATATTTCTCAAATGCATTTTTGCTTTTGGATTTTTATCCAAACGCATATTAGCCTTTGGGGTATTTTGTTGAAATGCCCACGCATTTATAAAATGAGTTTGTATTATTTTGCCAAATTGAAATGCGTTTGACATATTAAAAAAAACATATTTGTGTTCCTAATCTTATGTGCTTGCAGAGGAATCGAAGGAGAATGTGTGTCTGGGGAGTTTCGCCGACTCGGGCTTGCAGAGTTGCGAATAAGTTCATAGCATTGAGTTCAAAGTATTCTGTAGTCCATAGATTGTTTGCCATAATTAACAAGCAAAACAGAGGCCAATTATTACTAACTAAATCATTTTCGTGTAAAGCTAAGTACAATAATATCCACTAACTGAAAATGCCTTTCTTTTGATACCCATGGTATTAGGTTGCAGCTTTTCTAATAGTATGGTTCTATTTGGTTGCAGCTTAGAAATATAAGCAAAGGTTGTGTTTGAAGTTGAAATGTTTTCTATTTGTAATCAGCAAGCATTGTGGGCATTTAAGAGTGTTCCTATCTATATATATATATATATATATATATATATATATATATATATATATATATATGTATGCTTTTGTTAACAAATGCTTGTCCTGAAGGGCTTGAATTTCAGTCTACATTGCATCTTTCCAACATTAAAATTTGAATGCCAAATTATATGTCTTAGGCTGGTTCAGAATTAGAGGAGGTGGCTGTGATGTGGCCGTAAAGAGTGTGAAGAAGACCACTCTCTGTTGCTGAGTTTTGAGCAGTAACTTGTAAGTGAAAGGTGCAGATAATGGAACACCTAAAGTGGAATGACCATCAATAGATTATAATCATCTGAAAATGATATCACTGGTAGAGAGGGATTAAACAAAACAAATCATGCATGTGCCTTACTTGCTCAAGAATTCTTAGCATCATTTGTCTTCAAGGGAAACACTTGTTCATAAAAATGTACATCTCGATCTAGATATGAAAACTGGACCATTTTGTACGTCATATAAAATATTTCCTTTTACATTATTAGCAGGATATTCAATGAAAATGCACTTCCTTCCTCTGAATGTCATTTTATGTCTTAACTGTGGCTGTGTGGATGCATAACATAAACAACCAAACACCTTCAAATGAGCATAATCGGTAGGCTTACCATATGACCCCAAAACTGCAAGGGGAGAGCTGCTTGGAATCACAAAGCTCTAGCTACATTATTTAACACATGTTGATGCTTTAATTTCTTTATGCAATTGCATTCTGTTGTGGGGTGTTGAAAAATGATTTTAATTCTATTTTTCTTGGTCTTACAGTATTACTTTACAGTCTTACTTAATATAGAGTGTTAGTAATTATTCATATGTTATTCAACCCTATCATTCTCTTCATATAAAATTAATAATGAAATTAGGAGGCGCAAATGGTATTAAATCTTTTGAAATTAAAGGAATATAATATTTCTTTAAATGACAAGAGAAATTTACATCCATTATCATGCACAGTTTAGGTCATTGTTACTATGGAGTATATTATATATCACAAGAGTGTGAAAATGTTGAAGTAGTCGTATTGAAGTTTCCAACTGCAATAAATCTACAAGTAATCAAGATTGGTATAATGTTCACGCTACTTTGCCTACTTGTAAGCAAAGTTCATGAACTTATTTTGAATTAGTTGACCAGTTGAGTTGTGCTTTTGGTAAGGACATGATAGCTTTTATTTATAATTCAAAGGAAAATTGTCAAAATAACCTTGGAGTACGGGAGTGAATATTAAGGCTTTTAATTTTATTTTTTCTTTCTAAAGGCTCCATTAAGGCTTTCTAAATTGACTAAAAATGCAATTGAATCGTAATATTAAACAACCTAATTAAGTGTTACTATTGATGGAGTTAACAAATGACCTCTGACTCTGTGTGAGTAACCTCTCAAAGTGAGGGGCCTCTTAGTGCGCAGTAAGTAAATATCTAGCCTATATATATATATATATATATATATATATATATATATATTCAGTTGAATTATCATGATTTATATCCTCATATCTAGATGCTTTGTCGAGTCGGGGCATGTTGAATCCTAAGGGTTGGGTATTCAACCTTTTGGGAAGAACAACAACAAATGACCCATGGATGCTTATGTGGATTTGACGTGTACAAATACATTGAGCAATCATTTTCACAAGCGGTAGGCTATTGGCAGTTTAATGTAATTGCAATACATTATA